ATCCCTGATCTGCTTTTGCATATTTTAAGATTTAAAAATCAATACATGAACTCAATCTTCGCCGCGTGCTCCCGTCACGCCACGTCTTCTCTGTCCCCTTCTCACGTTTTCCCCCCGAACGAGCCCATCGTGCTCCTCCTCTGCAGCGGCTCGTCACGTTTCTTCCCTGACCTGCGTGCTCCTTGTCTCCACAGATGAGTTCGTTCAGCACGAGGGCCCTGACGCTGCTCTCCTCGGTTTTCGGCGCCTGCGGTTTGCTGCTGGTGGGCGTCGCCGTGTCGACGGACTACTGGCTGCTGATGGAGGAGGGCATCGTGCTGCAGCAGAACCAGACCACCGAGGTCAAGATGGCGCTGCACTCCGGCCTCTGGAGGGTGTGCTTCGTGGCCGGTGGGTGATTGTGTCGCTGTGTGCTATTTCGTAATGCTGCGGGAACTACGAGTTTAACATCAAGGAAATCCCCTCTTACGTGTGTGGACCAAACGTAAACCAATGGAGAAGCAGCAGTGTCACTTCGGCATGAGTTGCTTATTCATGCATTCAAACACACAACCAAAGACACGCACTCGGCATCACAGGTACACACAAACGTCTGTCTCCGTGTTTGGGGTCACGATGTGGCTCTGGGGAGGCGGCTGTGTTTGTGTTTCCTTGTCGCCTGGTGCAGAAGATCAGAGAAGGAAACCATGGTGGCATTTGGAAGGGCTGTGTGTGTGTGTGTGTGTGTGTGTGTGTCCTCTCTCTGCCTACAGTTTGACGTTAATTGTCGTGTCCGTATTCAGCTCAAAGCCCCGTCTCTTCATAACCTCCCTTTCCTCCCTCACCTCTCTCCCGTCCCCCTGACAGTCCCCTCCTTCATTGTCACCATTGGTGGGTTTTGTTGATTTAGGTTTCATTTCCACTCGTTGTCCCCCTCCCGTCTCTGCCGGTCCCTCTCAAGCCGTCCGGGTGTCCTCTCGCTCTGTTTCAGGGCCGGAGAAGGGCCGATGTGTGGCGTCGGAGTATTTCACCGAGCCGGAGATCGAGATCACGACGGAGAACACAGCCAACATACTCAGTGAGTCGAAGAAGAGGAAGAACTACACACTCTGTGAACACAGACACACACACAAGGTCATACGAGACTGATTAGGCCTTGTGGATTATCTACCACCAAACCTAAAGCAATTTGAAAATAAAGCCGTGATTCTTCAAACAGTATCACACAAGATGTGTTGGTGTGATCTTCTGTTCTCTAAGCTCAGCTAGAGTCCTACTGCTGACCAACCTGACCCGGGCAGAACCTTTGGGATTTGCAGAATCCAGCCGCATGGAACATGCACACAAACATTAAATGAATGTCGAGCGCTCGCTGAAGTTCCCCACGGGGCGATTCTGCCTGTGAGCGGTTTTAAAGATTTAATATGTCGACAGCGTGAACCGGCTCTCCAGGTCTCCGCCTGTCCCTCTGAAGGCAGTGTGGTCGGGGACCCCGGGGGGGGGCGTTAGGTCTGTTTAACGCGGGATAAACGTCCTCAGGTACACTCGCTAGTCACAACAGTGTAGTAACAGGGCTGAATAAAACATGTGCGGCGCAGTGGAACCACGCGAGAGCTGCAGCAGACAGTTAGAAGACGTTTTTGCAAACGTTGGCAAAAACAAGTTCCTCTAACTGTGAAATGAACTAAATGTTTACTTTAAGTCATTGGGAATAAAAAGCTCCCCCATGCTGGACATTTTGGACCAACCAGCAAACTGTATCGTGTGTAATTATACTCTTTTCTGTGGTGCATGTGATGTTGAGTTTGTGATTTCATCGAATGGAAGTTGGATTTGGATTCAGTCCCCTGGCGTCGTGTTTTTTAATCCGTCACGTCCTTCTCTCTCTTCCCAAATCCTCCCTGTCCTCCAGAAATGGTCCGGACCGCCACTCCCTTCCCGATGGTCTCCCTGCTCTTCGTCTTCACCGCCTTCGTCATCAGCAACATCGGACACATCCGGCCGCAGCGCACCATCCTCGCCTTTGTCTCCGGAATATTCTTCATCCTGTCAGGTAGCGTCCCGGGATTTTCTTTGACATGAGAAAGCATTAGAAGCATTTTTTGGGATTAAATCAGGAACGACTCGTAGACCAGAGAACAGCAGTCGGCGATCTGCCAATCACAGGAAGCCCCGCCCCCTAAAGCCCGTGCTGTTGTGTGGTTTATTTTCCTTGAAATACCGTTAACTATCATTTCTGTCCCACTGTCTTCCAACCGACAGCTCTTACAGCCTCAGGCCTCGTTCATGACGGCAGGTAACAGGCCGCTAAGCCACGGGAGCTCGTCTCTCACCTTTCTGCTTAAATAAGAAGAGAAAAGAGCAGACGGGCAGGAGAAGCTTGTTAAAAGTCGACATTGTTCAAGGTCAACGGTAATGGGAGGATGGAAGACTCCCCCCGTGCGGCTCTAGTTTCCCTCCCCCAGCCGACAGCCTGTCAGAACTCACCTCGTCCTCGCTGGCCGGCTCACCGCTGAACGGGATTTAATTCCACGTAATTGCTCCCCGCTGAAGAAGCAGCAGGGCGGCGGCGGCGGCTTGATGCTGCGAGCTTTCTGTACGAGGTCACCAAACAGTCCGGAGGGACACCGGGCGGCAGTTGGACACTTCAGACAGGAGGTCGGTAACGAGGAAGGTCGCTCTCCTTCTCCCCGGCCTTCTGAGCGCTGAGCTGGAAATGGAAGCTCTGAAGGCTCAGGCGCCGTCTGCTGCAGTTCCTCGAACGGCCACTAGGGACCGGCTCCAAAAGCGAGTCGGCACCCACGGGCCCCACGCGGTGAAACACCCGGCTGAATAAAAAGATCTTTACAGCTTTACAGCCTCTGCGGGTGATATCTGCATTAAAGAACTACACAGGGGGACTTTTCAATCATCCGTCTTTATCTTTAATACGCTTCAATGTCAGAAAAACACACCGAGGCATCAGCATCCCGCAGTGTCATCACGCCGGACACTCGGCGGACGCCTCTGCCCGTCAGCTGGAGTTCGGGGTCGAGCGGTTCAGCTGTTTTTTTGGGGACATTGCCGGTCTCTCAGCGGACAGGGTGACATCACCTTCCTGGTTTCAGCGGGTTTCATTTTTCTGCAGGGGTGAGCTTTACCTCACAGATGCTAGCTTAGCATGGTGGAGTGCTGACTGGGGAGACGTGACCACCGTGAGGTCGCGGCAATGTCACTGCGCCAAAAGAGAGAAAAACGCATCAAAGGCCAATAAATAGTGATCAACTGAAGACACACAGATCTGCACACATACGTCACATCAATGTGCGCAGGGAAAGCAGACAGGAAGGACTGAAAAAGCACGTCAACCTATTTAAAAAAACTATTAGTGATTTTTAGAAATTAGAAATTTGATTCACATGTGATTTTAAGATTTGTGTAAAACATTGTTTTTAAATGTAATTTAATATCAATTATAATTACAGGATAGATAAATACAGCGTTCTGATTGGTTGAGAGTGAGTCGCGCGGGGTACATTATTGAGCGATAAAGTAACAGGTTAGATTTTGTTAGTTGACATTTCAGTTTTTAGCTCAGTGGCGATTGGGACGTCTTCAAATATGTGATTTGTATTTGTACAAAAAATAAGTCATTTTTGGCAGGCAAATACACACATTTTTGGCATTAAATGAACAACTAATTCACTGGCTACAAATTGACATTTTGATTAAAAAAATAAAATAAAAAAGCTTTTTATTTCTTGTTCACTTAATGCCAAATACTTGTATTTTTAACGCAAAGATGATGTGTTAAAAAACAGAATGTGCAAAGCGATTTGACTGGTGTTGTAATTGTCGAGCACCGTCTGGAGGATTAAGTAACACGTCAGAAACACTCACTAATTCCTGTGTGACGGTTCTCTGCACAAAGACACAAACCGATGGTTTCATTCTCCACTCGGAAGCAGCCAAATGACTCCTTCTGTTTCCCGGTGGCTGTTTGCCGTGAAATACAACGTTTCCCCAAAGGCCGCTCTGCGATTAGGGGTCAGGGGGGGTCAGGGCGGGTCGGGGCTGTTTCAGGAGGCTTGTCTCCAGGGCTGTTTCTCTGATGAAAAGTGCCCGTCGGAGGTTACAGCGTGGGCGCCGTGGACCAGCTGCTTCCTCCCATTTCTCCCGTCTGTCCCTCCCCCCAGCGAAAACTCTCCCACAACTCGGTGTCGTTTCTCCCCCTTTCGCCCCTGTGAATGTGCGTGTGTGTGTGTGTGTGTTCACGTTCAAACCCATGTGGGGCCCAGGCGGAACGGCGTAAACGGCCATTGAGACACAGCGCTGCCCCCTGGTGGTCAGACAGCGGAGTTACATCTCTGTCCCACGTGCCTTTTTCACCATTTCAAGACGTCATTCATGAATCAGTCGCTTCTCCGTGTTGGTGCGTGCACACACAAGCCACGCCCACAGGGGCGTATTACTCAATGGTAATTAAAGGTGTGATATGGAACCCTTCCACCAAGTAGTAACGCCACCTTTTCTATTCGTGGAGTATTTCTGTAACCACATTTTTCAGGAGGAACAGCCTTCAAATGGAAGTGCGTGTTTGGTTGTTTAATTCCCGGCCATTGTGTTGTTGTTGTGATGTGTTTTAGGGGCAAAAAGTGATGCCAGGTGATTTAAATGAGAAGCGTCTCGTTTGTTGTGTTCACTGTGTGTGAGTTTCACCGCCGGAGGGTTCGGAGGTCGGCTGCAGCGGTTAGTGGCTCGACAGGGGAGAACGCAGTCAAACACTCCTAATGAGGCTGCAGTGTGTGTGTGTGTGTGTGTGTGTGTGTGTGTGTGTGTGTGTGTGTGTGTGTGCACCATCTAGTAAGAGAGGATGTACATACATTAGTTTGTATCTACGGTCATGTGGGTTCTTAATGTGTGCACTGGTTTTTTGACCGCAAGCACAAGGGAGTGTGTGTGTGTGTGTGTGTGTGTGTGTGTGTGTGTGTGTGTTCGTGAGTGTGCGAGTGCGTCTGTGTGAGTTTGACTGTCCTCGTTTATTTCTGCACCAACAGCAGTCCGTTGTGTGTCATTTGTCAGCAGGACGAGGACGTGCTATGTTCATAAGGCAGCAGGATGAACCCGTGTCTTTGTAGCAGTGAGTGAGGGTCTCGTGTGCGTTTGTGCCTCTCAGGTCTCAGCCTGGTGGTCGGACTGGTCCTATATATCTCCAGTATTAATGACGAGGTGATGAACCGACCCAGAGAGGCCGAGCAGTTCTTCCACTACCGCTACGGCTGGTCCTTCGCCTTCGCCGCCTCCTCCTTCCTGCTGAAAGAGGTAATCCAAGAACACACACACACACACGGATGTGCTCATGCATAAACAACACACTGCAGATGTATTCAAGGAAAGACGGGTCAAAAGGGATAATATGCACACACCCACACACATATACATTCTTTTCTTACCAACAGAGGACCATCCCGCTATTACCGCCAAGAGAGGACCTCTGTTTTTTCTTTCTTTTCTGAACAACATTTCTTTCTTTATAATCATAAATACCTAATTTACCTAAAATACTTATGTCTTCTTCTTCTTAATGCACACGTATTCAGCCAAACACAAACACGCACACAATCACACAGACACACATTTTAAAAAAGCCTGTGTAGAAACCCGTCGTTCCGCCTGCATCAATATTCATGAATGATAATAGCTTGAGGACTTGAGGGCAGCAGCTCCATCTGCATGAGAACGTCCCTGGCTCCTTCTTCTCCCTCCTTCCTTCTTCATCCCTCCTCTCCTCTCCTCCCTCCTCCTCCTCTCTCTCTGTCCTCTTTAGTTCTTATTTTCACTTTGCCTTTTTATTTTCCCGTTCCCTTCTCTCTCATTTCTCCTTTTCACCAGGTCTGTTCTGAATCCCACGTTTCTTCATTATGTTCCACTCTTTTTCCCATCTGAAGCTGTGTAACGTGGTATTTTTCACAAACACACTATATCGCTCCCACGCACGCTTATGCAAACACGTTCACCAGCAGGCTTTGGGGCGGTCGTACCAGCGATGTTATGAATGAATAGTGGATGAGCTGTGAAAACATGAACACATTAGACAGTAGCGCATTCCACCAAGCCTGGAAATCCTCATGGAGTTATTTCGTTTTCTTCCCCCCTGAAGGCAGCGTGTAACAGTTTAAGCCGGCGTCAAGATGTTTAGAGAACATTGTTGCAACAAGGATTTTTCTTTTCTTGGTTTACTGATGATGAACCGGAAATAATAAATGATAAACTCTCCCCTTCCATCTCAGGTCCTGTTCTCCATCAGTGACTTCACTGTATTTTTCTGTATTTATTTATCAGGTAGAAATGTAGATTTCATATTTTTAGTAATCTTTAGTCTTCTTTCTGCAGTACAGCTTTCAGCCACATGAGGGAGCAGGAATCTTGTGAATTATTCTGGTAATTGTAGCCTCTTTATAGCAGAATATCTGATATGATGAGTGGAAAAGCTTTTTTCCTTTTCAGGATAACACCATGTGATGTAACATTGTTCACGAACAAAACGATGAAAAGTGTAATTCTGGAAAGATCTGTGCTTTGCTGAGCATGACCTTGTGTCTTCGTCCCAGGGGGCCGGGGTGATGTCCGTCTACCTCTTCATGAAGCGCTACGCCGAGGAGGAGCTGTACCGGCCCCACCCCGCCCTCTACCGCCCCCGCATGTCCGAATGCAGCGACTACAGCGGCCAGTTCCTCCATCCGGACTCCTGGCCTCCGCCGCAGCGCGGCCGCAGCGCCTCCGACGTCTCCTCCGACATCTCCATCCAGCTCAACCAGACTCCACCGTCGCAGGCGCAGACCAGGGGGGGGGGGGGCAGCTCCCAGGCGACGCCTTCCTCCGGGCCTTCGTCGGCGGCCAGTTACCAGCTCCAGCAGGCCTCCTCCTCCTCCACCTCCTCCTCCTATCCGCACCCCCTCCACCTCGCCGCCGCTTCCACCCTGCCCCGAGCCTCCCACGGCCACGGCGTCCCCCAGCCCCACCCCCACCCGAGCGGCCCGCCGCCCCAGCCCCTCCCCATGGGGGTGCCGCCGTCTGCCGTGCTTCCTCCGCGCTATCACTCGCACATGCGAATGAGCGCCTCGCCGTGCTAGGCTACGTACTTGGAGAAGGGGGAGGGAAATCACAACTGGGGGGGGGGGGGGGGGGGAGGGGTTCGATTGGCCCTGGCACGACTCTTACAAGACAACAACAACATCAACATCAGCAGAGTGTGGGAGGAGAGATGCAGCAGAGGGGATGAAGGGGGGGAGATGACGGAGAGGAGGGGGGGGGAGGATGACTCACCTGTGACAGGCGAGACGAAGACGGACACTTAAGAAAACTTCTAAGGCGCTGCGAGGGACCCGGAGGGCAGCGACGAGACGCTGGTCTCTGATTCACATCCAAAACATCCACAAAAAGAACAACTTCTGAACAAGGAAGATGAATCTATCTTTCAATTAGCATATTTTTGTCAATCCACCGAGCTGGTTGGGCGGTTAACTTTGTTGCCTCTCAGTTCTTCTGGTTATTTTCTTGACGGTGGGATGAGAACCCGTGTGCTGCCATCAGAGAGCAAACCGGAAGCAACCGGCCAGCTGCTGCTGTGAGACTTTACAACTTGTAGACGTGACGGAGCAGCGAAACCCGCTCCACTTCTGCTCCGTCATCACAGACCCCCAAAGCCCGGCCTGCTCGCCTCCAAATATCACAGATTAGAGGTTCCTCCCAGGAGAACATTGCTTGTGTCCCGCGCGAAACGAGACTCCAACTTTAGACAATCGCTGATCTTTAACTGCAGGTTTTTGATGCCTTCACATAAACAATTAGTTTTGTGGGATTTCCGTTTTGTTTTTGTTTGAATGTGTGATTGTAATCCTGGGAACAATATTTCCCCTTACATGTAAATGTGTACGAGGTTGCAGTCCCATCGCATGGAAACTTCGTTTTTAGGACACAGGGTTGGCAAAGCAGTTTTGATTAATATAAATGTTCAAATATAAGTATTTTCATTTGATTTGCTTTATGCATGACGTCTCTTCACCAAAAACGGCATCCGCGTGAAAATATGAATTTCATAGAGAGAGTTTTGAACCCACCAGACCTAAATAGTTTAACAGCAAGTTTATTCAGGTACGGGACGATTGATACATTTATTTCATCCTTTACTTCCCGACCATAACAAACCATATTTGAAAAGAATCAAGCCACTATGATGACGAATGCTCGCGTTATTAATACACAACTTTTGCACATGAGCCGTGACCTACAAACTATTATATACACAATCAGAGGTAAACTGTACATTCTTAGAGGTCTACACTTTAACTGTATAGATATTCGCTTTTAATCTCATGCCAAAGCATACATTTGTAAAGCGTAACCCGCGTGGCGAGCGTGGGCTGTAAATATCACGTATGTTTTGTCTGTTGAGAGGGAAGCTCTGGGGATGAAACAGAAGACCTAAGCTCACAGTGCCGAGCACAGCTGGAAAGCTCCTGGAGGAGTTTCCCGCAGCGTCAGCAGCGACCGCTGGGGGACGGTCCGTTTCCACGGTGATCGGCCCCGGTGAAATCAAAATGGCTGCCTCGGAGATGCTGTTGCCATGGAAGTGAGAACATCATGTCTTAGGTTCTGTAGGACCGGTGAAAGCCGGGTTCGGTTCAGATGACCTACTGGAATCTAATCCACAGACTCATCTGTGATAATAGTGGCAGGATGTCAGGAGGAAGCTTCAGCTATATTTTCCCTGAATGTTTATTTATGTTTTTTCGAATGACAACGTGCTTCCTGAAGTGACGGATTTGACGTGAGGAGATGTAAGATGTTGCTTTGATGGACAGGAGACCGAAAGCCGGAGTGCACTGTGACCGCTTTGCATCCCGACGTCCCTCCTGGTCCATCTATTATCCACGTGGGCGGCTCAGCTGGAGTCGGATTCCACATCTTTTCACAGATCAATCTTTGGTCCCGAGACGAGAGGAAAGATGAATGTGACGTGAGAGGCCTGCGAGCCGCGTCGGTGCTACGAAGTGTGTGATCTCCCTCCAGTGTCCGATGTCTCCAACACAAGACGTCGTGCAAGAATTGATCGTTTATTCTATTTTTTAAACGTCCCGTGTGTTTCAGGCCGTGTCAGGAAGTCATTAAAAGACGAATGAATTATAACGTTAAAAACCATGAATTGCTTGATGGAACGAAAGCTACTTCCAGGTGTTCCAGCGGCAGTTTGAATTTGCACTAGGACAGGACTACGTCACATTACATCTCTTCATATCGACACTGGAGGTTTTCATGTTGCACAGTGACAAACTTAGACCGCTTGTTTTTGTAGCACACCAACAGTCGTTTGTGGACAGTCTTTGAAAAAGTCTTTTACGTTCAACCTGTTGCGCTGAGAGGAAACCAGTGTAGCAGACGGACAGCGATGTTGCCATATTTTATCCATACGTGGAAACTAAATCCTTCAGCAGTTAAGTATGAGAGCGCTTGCTTAGTTTTAAGATATTTAATTGAACTGCCAAAGCTGAGCATTCATGCTGTGTAGTGAGCGCACACACACACACACACACACACACTGGTGTAGCTGACTTCTAAAGGGGTTGTTTTCAGTTTTAAGAGGCGTATAAAGGACTCCTGAGGACGTGACAGCAGAGCCGTAGCGCTGTGACGCTTCCTGCGACGCAGACAAACTGTGATCATTATGTAAATACCGCTGAACGCGCTTTACGCTTCACGTTGGACTGACGTGGCACCGATGATGGAATCCATGGAACCTTCATGGTTTTCCATCAGTTCTGCATATGTGCTAGTAGCAGGAGTGTGATTTGTATCTGCCAGCAGTGTTTTGTTAACTTTAAAACCAATAAAGCTTGCCTGCTCCCAGCCTCCTATTTGTTCATCGCTTTTTTGTCAGTTCGAAAATGAAAAAATGTAGTATTTCAGTGCTAATGTTAACGAGTAAACTAGATTGAACCATTTTAATACACGTGTCTTTAATTGATTTGGGTTAAATTGATTCCGTTTGGATGGACCACACTTGGGAGGAACACATCTGGGTCACAGAGCTTCATTTTATTCAAGATGTTACAACGCTGCCAGATTTATTTTGACCCTTTAATTACTCAAATCGCTCCTTTCGTACACATGAGAACACAATCCGAGCACTTGGGTTGATGGTTATTAATTGTTCGTATCTCACAGTGTTCCATTGAGCAGGTGACTGACCCTCTGAGGACGTGGACGTGTCACTGATGCTTCAGGGGGAACGCAAAGGAGAGCTTTTAAAATGAGTCACGCATTGATTACTTCAAAAATACATTTGCAAGTGTCGATAGCAGCACTTATGTGGCAGTCGCAGTGCTGGAAATAAATGCATTATGGTGCATTATTAAAGCTTGAGTCAGCCTTTGCATGCTTACTTATCAACGACCTTTAAGTTTGTATGATGGTGGAATATTAAGTGAATTCTCATATTTCAGATCATTATTCCAGCAGCAGGAACTCGCTCTGCTGATCCTGGTTAGATAACCAAGGCAACTTACCCCAGAACTGCTGTTTTTAAAGTGTGAAGAAGCAGCTTGAAGAGTCTCATTGGACTCTTTTGAAGACCGCAAACTCAGAAAACATGTCACGAACCTTCAGGAGTGAAAAGCCGCCTCGTATTCGACCACCTTCTTTGACGCACCCACCTGCCCTCCCTCCTCCGAAGGCCGTCCTCTTCTTTTCCTCCTTCACTTTGTTCCCCTCCGTGTCGTTTTCTACTGAGGACTGTTGGTTTTACATCGGAGCTCTTTGGAAGTCGGCCGCGTCTCATTGCGGGTGCTGCGTGAGGGAATCGGGCCCCTCGGGTTCCTCAGTCCAACGCGCCCGCTGTGTGACGATGCCACTTTGTCTCCTGATGTGGGCATCGATTTCCTCTCCTCCGTCTGTATCACTGCTGTGTGCACCACGCGTTGAACCCCCTCCCTGGCTCGCCCTGTGATCCATATTGCCCATTCGTCTCAGTTTAGCTCCCTCCATATCTGCTTGTGTAACCTGTGAAGGCTCATCTTCTGCCTCCGAGCTCCTCCATAGTGCGCATGGGACCCAGGACACGAGGACGTAGGATTCACAAGGCTTTAATACACAAGCAAGCCGGTTCTACTAGTTTTGTGTCAAACTGAGAATATTCAATCCAATGTTTGAAATGTAAAAGCATGTTTTTTATGACATGAATTGTGCGTATGTGGTGTGATTTCTGTCTTCCAGCAGCCAGTGTCCCTGCTCCCCCTCTTAACACATTCATAATTACACCTCTCCCTGCGAGTGATGGATGAAACGTAGCACTGCCTCTACTTTGATCTCCTTGTTATTCTGGCACCAGCAGTTGGTTTCGGCTGAACGTGCTGTTGCCATGGTAACCTCTAACGGCGGCGTTCCACAGCAGTTTGACAATGTCCAGAATCCCTCTGCAGGGGAGCAGGGTGACTTGTTCCTGCGTTAGCGCCACAGGACACCGATGCTACAGCGCACACGTCACTGGAATGATCCGTATCCCCAAATAATACACCAACATGCAAGTGGTGTGAAGTCTTTGTTAATTGAGTGTGATGGACAGCTTGTTACCACTGCACCCCCCCCCCCCCCCCCCCTGGAGGCAGGGGGAGAACTTTTTCTGCCTGTGTTTGTTGGCTGTTGGGCTGGAAACCGGAAACTTGGCGATGGGCCCACAGCACGTTTTCTTTTATGAGGGCTGAGCACAAAAAAACAGGTCTGAGTTGCTGTTTTTCGTTTTGTTTGTTGTCTCTGATTTCAGAATCGTCCTCTAACTGGACAGGTGATCCAATACATTCTCTGAAGTTTATTTCAAATTCTCTTTTCTTTGCTATAAGACTCTCCTGTAATTCAAAAGACATATAATTAACTCCTACAGAATGATGCGCTCTGATAATGTGTTTAGGTTGTCCAACATTTAGGACATCAGTGATTCTTAGCATCCATCCTGTAATGGCGAACACCTCCGCGTCCGTGCTTTCGCCAGCCTGCGATGAGCACAGGCACTTTTCTGTGTTTTCTGACACTTTAAGTTTAAAGGGTTTAGCCGGCCAATAACCCTGACAGGCGGCATTGTGTGTCCTGTTGTCCTCGGGTGGGGGAGGTGCTGAAGGGTCTGAGACAGCGTTGGTGTGGACCCTTCTCTCTGGACGGACTCCTCCGCTCACCAGCTGACATAAAAACAGTTCAGTGCGAGGACTTCCTGTTAGTAATCAGGTTCTATGACCACTGGCCTGCGTGCGCTCCCTTACCCGCACTACGCTTCTATCTGGTGTGCGACGCGTGGCCCGCTGCAGTCCCCGATTGTCTGTTGGCCAAACATTCCTGCAGCATTCGGTTGCATTTGCAGCCTTTTTTCAGCTGAGATGAACCGTGATCCTCAGCGCAGAGCACGTATGAGCGAGCGGGTCAGAGTTTACCGTGTATTGAGGTGAGGAGGCTGCAGTACAGTATGTGCATGTAGGGCTTTCCCTGTACAAAAGGGTCGTGACGGAAAGCCTCAGCTCCTGATTGACAGCGTCATGGTTCACACTTCAGCTGGCGTTTCTTCACTGGGATTGAGACCTTTGAGCGGAGGAGTCTCCAAAGGGGGCCTGTGGTCAGAGGGGTCTGTTGATGGGATCCCTGCTGTGCTGCTGCTGCTGATGGCTTCCTCTCAGCAAACCTGGCCGACGGGAGGTTCCTCTTCAGGCAGACTGGGCCAAATGCATACGTGTGCGTCTAGAACATTAACATGTGTGTGTGTGTGTGTGTGTGTGGGGGGGTTACATCACTCATGCATGACATCCAGGCTTCTTTGCACATGAAATCCTCACACGTTTTCTTTTTTTTAAATCTCAGCAGAATCCTCTCAGCTGTTACATCGATCTCTCTACTCCCCCGGCACACACACACACACACACACACACACACACACAAACACACACTCACCAGTCATAGACTTTGGAAGTCACTGTTGCCATGGCGATGGAATAGAGCACGCTCACTCGCATCGCCTGTTCTTTTCTATTGCTTTATATCTCTCCCCCTCTCTCCCTCTCTCTCCCTCTCTCCCCCTCTCTCCCTCTCTCTCCCTCTCTCTCCCTCTCTTGTTTGACGGGGGGCTCGTTCGCCCGGCATCAGGCATCAGGTTCTGGATGTTTGTTAGTTTTTTCAGAACCTTCATCCTCACAGTAAAAAAAGCTGTGTGGGAGACGCTTCTGGATCACCAGCACCACTTCAAGACTCAAGTCACGTTTGTTAAACAGACACATCCTCTCCTCCTCTTCTCCTCGTCTCCTCCTCCTCCTCTTCTCCTCGTCTCCTCCTCTCTTCCATCTCTTTCTCAGCTTCTCCTTGTTTTATGTCTCTCACTCTCTTTCATCCGCTCCTCTCTCCCCCTTCGCCTCTTTCTTCCTCCTCTCAGTGGCTAAGATGACTGCCATGACAATTCAATGAGAGGAGAGGACAGCGAGTGAAGTACCCCCCCCTGCCCCCCCCCCTGGAAAGAAGGAGTGCTCAAGGTAAAGAGAGGAGGAGAAGAAGAGGCGCGAGGGCGGGAGAGAGAGAGAGGGAAAGCGAAGGATTAGCGGTGGATGGAGGCGGCTTGGACCGGGGCTACGGAGCGCTCTCCATTGACGAAGAAGAAGAAGAAGAAGAACAGCGGCAGCAGCCGGGAGGAGAAGAGATGGAGGCGAAAGGCAGGAGCATGCCTCCAGGTAACACACACACACACACACACACGCATGGAGACGTGCATGTACGTGCACGTGACACACATAAATGTTCATGCAACATTCAAACACACAAACCAGCATGAACAAACCCCATCAGGCAGGAAAGCACACACACACACACACACACACACACACACACACACACACACACACACACACACACTGGATTCAGAGGGCAGGTGGTTTTGAGTAATCTGCGCTGGAAATCTGTGTAACCGACCTCTGCATGTATGCGTATTCAGATTGGAGATGACGAAAAGGCACTTATAAAGAAACAGGGAGCATTCTGGGAAACCAGTAACATGTGCTGGTTTAGTGGATCGCTGTCACTCACTTCCCTTCGCCTTGTAATGCCGTTTAGCTCCGGACCTTAAATGGTGCGATCGCAAACATTTCTTTGACTAGTCTGCAGCCTGAAGCGAAGCTGGAATACTTATTTGCAAATGTACTTGTAGTAAAACCTGTATTCACTCATAAAACTTCCCCTTCCCGTTATATTTCGCTGCCAACACGGTACTGCGATCTGAGGCCATCATTGTTACATTGAACCAGGTAAAATGACATGTTGGTCTGTTTATAATGATTAAGAAGTCCTCAGTGTGTCTTCATTCATTGCACTTGTTCAAATACTATCACTGCGTTTCTAACCTAACTGACATTTATCATTTACAATTAGTAAATTGTCTTCACTCACACAAGTTTCACCTTTAGGTTTCAAGCTTTTCTTTCACTGTTTGAAACATAGTAAGAGAGAAATCTACATTTCAGAAACAGAAACCCACGTACAACAATGTGAAGCAACACACAAAAAGTAAAGCGTAAAGGAGAATTAGATAGAGACACCAAGAGCAAGTTACACCATAAATAATTGTGAATTATTACAATGAATATGGAAAGTCAACATGAAACATGTTGCTTTACCTCTCAGTGCAGTGGCGGCCCCCTGCTGTCTGTTGGGGTCCCACCTTATGCAGCAGTTCAGGGTCACAGTACCAGCGGCCTCTGTTCTTTAGAGACTTGTGTTGCCATGGAAACAGCCCTCAGGTGTAGGTCCTATGAAGCCCACGCTGGGATGTTGACCTCCTGTTGGGAGAACAGAGGAGTCAGATATGGGTTCCAGTTTTTATTAAAATGTCTGAAACTCCCGTTTCTGTTTCCTGAAGCACAGCTTCTCACCTCCCCTCTCAGCTTGAATTCACGTCTCTCCCCTCTTTCCTTCCCTCTCACTCCCCTGATTAGTGTTTGTGAACCTCCATTCGCTGCTTCCTTTTACTTATTTGCACCTTTGCAGTTGACTTGTGGTCACTTCCCCCCCAAGAAGTCCTATTGATTTTATCAGGAACCAAAATCCAAAGAATTGTCGTCAACACCTGCAAACATGAACTGTTGACATCAACGATCCTCAAAGTGAGTCGTTTTTTAATCCAGGGTTTGAAAGGAGGCTCTGAAACCTGCTGAGAGAATTTAGCTGAAACAATAATGATGGATTTTCTAATTTTATTCTAATCTTCTTGACATGCTGACATTCCGGGTTTGTATTTTGTACAAATAAAAAAAAAAAAAACAGAATAGAAAGCTGTGGCCCACGAGGGTCCATAGAGAGCAGAAGTTCCATCAATGCTTAAATATGTGATGGATCAATGCGTGATTTGGGAACATTAATCACGTCTTATTTATTTCAACCTTTTGAGGACGTTCTTGACCCTCCATGGAAATGAAGGATGGAGTGTAACCCAGACACGTGACTGGCATCTGTGTGCCCGTCAGATATCAGCTTCCTCCCTCGCCCGGCCATGGTGTGGTGCGAGCGGGGCATCCAGGTGCTGCTGACCACCATGGGGGCGTTCGCGGCCTTCGCCCTGATGACGGTGGCCATCGGCACGGACTACTGGCTGTACGCCCGCGCCTTCATCTGCAACAGCACGGCCAACTCGTCCCAGGACGACGCCAACAACAAGGACAAGAAGGACCCCGGGGCCCTCACCCACTCGGGCCTCTGGAGGATCTGCTGCCTGGAAGGTACAGTTGGCCGTGTTTTACTCAAACACACGCAGACACTATTCCACTTTTCTATATATTTTAGGGCTGTCAACATAAACGCGTTAATCTATGCGATTAATGTGGCCGAGATTAATGCGACAAAATATTTGACCAGAACATGTTATGTTAATATACCTCCGCGGGCAACTTCCGGTTTGCTTCCGGTCGTACCACAAGAAACAGTGGTGCGACAAACAGCAGAGAACTGTGCAGAGGAATTACTCCACGTGTCAAACAGACGCGGGGTGAGTGGCAAACAGACCACATAAATGAACGTTATGCTAAGCTAGCTGTTAGGCTACTTCCATCTAAACATCTAACGTTAGTTCAACATGTTCCACCAGGTGGAATTCTGCCTCCAAGATGATCACACGTATGTAGTTTTGTGTTTAAAATAACATTAACAATTAAACAACAGTGTCTAAAATACACACTTTCAAAAGTGATTTCTAATTACTTTAGAAGAAAACATTCAGTATTCAGTAACAACAACAACATTCATTTATCGCCATTAATCGAGATTCATGAATTTCAAAATGTGCGATTAATATGTTATTTTTTTAATCTATTGACAGCCCTAATATATTTGTATAGAGCCCTATTTTTGTTTTCCTTGTCTGGTTTGTTTGCTGCTCTTTGACCTTTCGGATCGGTTATCGGATCAGTGATGAGATTAAAGTCCATTCGCAGGACAAAAGCTGTTGCTTTGTATAATTCTAGAAACCACGAGTGTGTTGAATGGAATGCGATCGATACGGTGACGCGTTTCGCTTTGGTCAGAGCGAGTAAGCTATGCAATGGAAACTCATCGGCAGGACGTGGAGGTTCACTGAGAAGCATCGACTTTGATAGTCTGGTGATTGGTGTCTGATTTGTAACTACGTGAAAGTCCTCCGAGGGTCGTCGTTATCTAGTAAAGTAAAACCGTAAAAGAATCCTGCTGTCAGGAAGGAAGCAACACGAAGCTCGTGAGTATTTCTGGTCCGGAGGCGTCCAGAGGTGCCGGAGCGTTTTTCTGGTGACTCTGCTGGAGAATGACAACCCATAATTGGTAAGGCTTCACAAATTGTCGCTTTTCCAGCGCTGCGACCACGTTACAAAAGCCATTGTGATGTGTTCACTTTGTGTTTTTTTGCTAAACCGCGGCTTGTGGCACGAATCAAGAGAGGAGGATTTGAGGATGTTCAGAGATGAGCTGTGCCATGTTTCCCTAAACACAAACACTTACATGGGTACACTGGCGCTACGCGTTCAACATGAAGCTCATCCCAGCGCCCCACAGCTCACATTCCAGGGGTGACTCATCCAGGGACTGATGAAGTAGTTTTTCCTGCATTGCTGCAGCCGACAGACGGCAGGCCGCACAAACACAACATTCACGCGTGAAAGAGATTCGGTGTCCTGGCCGCGCTGCTGCTTTTAAAAGGTTCTTGTTGCGGAGTTAATGGGCGGCATGTGGCATTTATACACCAGTAGATTATAACATTGGTTTTGAGGCATTAGTATCATTATCACAAACAAGAGAGAAGCAGCATTTTCTCAAGTCCAATCTGACACATATATTACAAATATTTGTGTTTCGTACTCGGCCTTTTCTTCCCGAGTTCTGTCCTCTGGGCCCATTCACCTTCCATCTTTTAGATCACTTCCTGGTCCCATTTTTATAATACTAATTACGTCCCAGAGCATCCATTATGTATGTGATGTTCTGTCTTGAAAAGATCTGATATCGATTCAGGTTTTTCTTGGACGACTTGTGTTTGTTTGCAGAACAGAAGTGTGTGTTCATTTATTCCACCTGTCCGTCATTCATCGCTCCTTCCTCTGGATGTTTATTTTGTCCACAAGTTGTCAATCAAAAATGCAAGCGGGCAGATGCAGTTTCTGTTACAATTTAACAAACCACACAAAGCCAGCAGAAAGCTATGTTCCAGGTTAAAACAAACGTGCATGATGTTTTAGAGACATTCATGGTCCTCAGGTGATGTACTTTACACATTTGTGGTCGTGAGTGAAATTGGATGTTGTATGTATTGCCATTGGCACATATACATTGATACATATATATATATACTGTATATATTTATCAATGTATACTGTATATCCTTGTCTCCCTCTAGATGGGTTCAACCAAATAACCAAATATATATAAACAGCACTTTCCTGCAGCCTCAGCTGCCCTTTGTGTTATTTGCTAAATGTTTAACTATGAACGAGAGTCCTTGTACCCCTTTATGACATTAGCATGTTAGCATTGCGTAAAGGTACGGTGCCATCGACTGTTCTATGAGAACTCCTCAGCCTCTCAGAGGTCTTTCTTGCTCTCTCCCTTTTTACGTCCCAATCGTTCAGTTTTCTCGTCCTCAGTTCGTCCGTCGTCTTTTTCATCTGGTGGCTTGTTTACTTCTGTGCCTCCTTTGTAGCTCGTTTCTTTCCCCCTGCTCTCCCCCCTCTCTTCCTCCATATCTCTCACACTACTTTCCCTCTCCCACCATTTTGCATTTTTCTCAGAATAGATGTTGCCCCCCCCCAAAACTCTTCCTCACGCTCTCCTCCTCTTCCTCTCTGTCGTTTTTTCAGGCCTGAAGCGAGGTGTGTGTTCCCAGATCAATCATTTTCCAGACGACGCCGACTACGACCAAGATTCTGCAGAGTATCTGCTGCGTGAGTGAACGGAAAACACACACACACACACACACACATGCGTCTCCCATCACGTAACAGTCTCCATCACGTTACAGTCTCCATCACGTAACAGTCTCCATCACATTACAGTCTCCATCACGTAACAGTCTCCATCACGTAACAGTCTCCATCACGTAACAGTCTCCATCACGTTACAGTCTCCATCACGTAACAGTCTGCATCACGTAACAGTCTCCATCACGTTACAGTCTCCATCACGTAACAGTCTCCATCACGTAACAGTCTCCATCACATTACAGTCTCCATCACGTTACAGTCTCCATCACGTAACAGTCTCCATCACGTTAGAGTCTCCATCACGTTACAGTCTCCATCACGTAACAGTCTCCATCACGTTACAGTCTCCATCACGTTACAGTCTCCATCACGTTACAGTCTCCATCACGTAACAGTCTCCATCACGTAACAGTCTCCATCACGTTACAGTCTCCATCACGTTACAGTCTCCATCACGTTACAGTCTCCATCACGTTACAGTCTCCATCACGTTACAGTCTCCATCACGTTACAGTCTCCATCACACATTACAGTCTCCATCACACATTACAGTCTCCATCACATTACAGTCTCCATCACACATTACAGTCTCCATCACATTACAGTCTCCATCACACACCCTACAGAAGGGACAGAAGGGGATGGTGGGCGGACACGGATGTCAGATTCAAGCAAAGCTTTGCTGGAGCTGTGTGTCTGTGGAATGTGTTTATGTGTGTGTGTGTGTGTGTGTGTGTGTGTGTGTGTGTGTGTGTGTGTGTGTGTGTGTGTGTGTGTGTGTGTGTGTGTGTGTGTGTGTGTGTGAGTGCTTTTAAATGCCCAGGTGCATGGGGTTGGGAGTCTGGGGGTGTACAGAAAGCCTCTTTTTGTTTTTTTCACAGATTGAAAGAACAGCCTTCACTAATGGATTATTTTCAGCTCAGCATTCAGGGTTCACATCATGCCTCCTTTGTGCATTCTGAACCTGTGTTTTTGGATGTTTGATCCATATATATATATATATATATATATTATATAATGACATCTATTTCGGTGACGCAGGCAGAAGATACCGTCCATCTTACCAAAGGATGAACAATCTTTTAGATTTTTCGTTATTCCCTAGATGTTATCATATACAGAAGAAAATTATTCTTTTTTTTAATTCCTGTTCCAGTGGTCCATCATTTTTTAATAGATTGTTTTGTTCATGAAATTTCCCCAAAATAAAATTCTTAATTGTTTTTTATTTGGCCAAATCAAACAATAAAAAATATTGTTTAATAGTAACTGTTTAGAAGAGACAAACACCGAGCACACAATCGCTTCCCCTCTTTGTTTAATGCGTGTTATCAGTGAGTACATGCTTATCACATCCTCATCCCTTCAAAGCAAACAGAAGCTAACGCAGCAAAGTCACCTTCAGGACTCGAAGGCCGAGACATTCAGCGTTTTCCTCCCGCATTATGTCTCTGCGTCTGCAGCCGATTTTGCTGTGGAGGGTTTTAGGGGATGAAATGCGACCTTTTGCAGCCGGACCGACGGTGCTGTGCGGTCCTTGTGAAGCACAAGAATTTCAATACACAGGGCGCGTGTAAATGACAATAAAAATCTTTGAATCTTGAATCTTGTGATGTAAAACTAGAGTCTGGGGACTTGTGAGCGGCAGGTGTCTAAAACAAAGCCCGGATGGATTCTTAACTCCTTAATATGGGTCAATCTTATAGAAGAAAAAACACTAGATCATGAATTAATACAAATTAAACTCCTCCTCCTTACGTCTTTAAAACTCTACAGCAGTTTGTAACGTGTGATTTCCTTCTTAAAATGTATAAATGGAAACAATAGACGATATTGATGAAATATGGTAGTGGTGCTTACGGCGCCTCTTGGTAACACCTCGTCTCCACGACCCCTCGCTGCTTGTACCTCATCGTGTGTGTGCTCCTGTGCTCGTCCGCAGGCGTGGTCCGAGCCTCCAGCATCTTCCCCATCCTCAGCGCCATACTGCTCCTGCTCGGCGCCGTGTGCGTCGCTTCCAGCAGCTTCTACAAGAGCAAAAGGAACATCGTCCTCGGCGGGGGGATCCTCTTCGTGGCTGCTGGTGAGATGGCGCTTCGTCGTGGTCTTTAGGCCCCTCGTAGCAAGGAGATGAACCGTTGGAATTTCATCAATACGGGAACTGGGGTTGGCCGTGGTTGGACCGCCTTTGGTTGTGTGTCTTTATCCTTTTTATCGCACTCAAGACTAAAATGAAACGGCTACTCAGAGCTTTCATTCTGATGCAGGCAGAACATTGTAAATTGTAATGCAAAACATTATGTTACGTATGATCGATGTTCATTGTGTGTCTGCCGCTCTTTCTCTGTATAATTGGAAGGAAACCTCGTAATGAACCTGTCTCAGGAGAACTTACAGAAGAAGTCTTCTATTCTTCTTCAGGCCTCAGCAACATCATCGGAGTGATTGTGTACATCTCGGCGGCCCTCAGCGACATCTCCCCCAAGAAAGACGAGGACAAGAAGTGGCACTACTCCTACGGCTGGTCCTTCTACTTCGGCGGCCTGTCCTTCATCCTGGCCGAGATGGTGGGTGTCCTCGCCGTCAACAATCTACATCGAGAAGAACAAGGAGCTGCGCTGCCGCTCCCGCGCCGACCTCTTCAAGAGCACCACGCACGCCGTGCTGCGGCTGCCCAGCTACCGCTTCCGCCGGCGCTCCCGCTCCAGCTCGCGCTCCACCGACCCGCCGCGCTCGCAGGAAAACTCGCCCATCGGCACGTCCAAGACCTTCAGCCTGCCGCCGTCGGCCCCGCCCTTCTCCGTGGCCACCCTGCCCAACCCGCACCACACCAGCAGCAGCGGGAGCGGAGGAGGAGGCGCCGGCGCCGGCGACATCTCCATGTACACCCTGACGCGGGACTCAAAGCTGGGCAGCCTCGGCGGCGGCGCCCCGCCCCTCTACGGCACGGTGGACCGCGCCACGCTGTACCAGCTCCACAACTACTTCCCAAAAGACGGAGGCGGCGGAGGAGGAGGCGGAGCGGTGATAAGCAGCGGCACACTCCCGTCTCACTCCAAGTCCAACTTGGCGGCGGCGGCAGTGGCCCAGACCGCGGCGCCGCTGAACACCTCCACGTCGGCCGTGGCACCGGCTCAGTCGGCCCCCATATCCACGGCCACCATGGAGAGGGACCGGGGGAACATGGGCACCCTGGACCGGCTCACAGCCAAGAGGGACCGCGACAGCAACTCAGACACTCTGAACAGGAAGACCACGCCGGTTTAGAACGGAGAGCGGAGGGAGCCGGTCGCCATGACAGCGAGACGGCGGTTGAAAGAGAGGGAGAGAAGGGCTGAACATGTTTTCCATCCTTGAGCCTGAGGTATCGAGCTGCCGTACTTACTCACTGATATCATTTACAGTCATAGAACACCGTGACATTTTGTGCAAATTCACGACGACTGCCTTAAAATGGTCATGACTTTAGTTTCAAAAACTTCAAAAAGTCAACGACGAGGCGTCGGTGCGGCGGAGGCAGCGACTGGGAGCCTTCCAGTAAAAAAGTGTCCCGTGGGAGCGTCTGGGGGTTAAGTGCCTTGCTGAAGAGGCGGGTGAGCTCAATGATATTCGTTTTACCCTTCTAGAATTAATCAACTTTACGACTCGATGTTGGTATTAAAAAGTCATCAGAAGTAAAACTGAATCAAAAGTGAAGGCCTTCACACGTCCAGACGTCCACTTTGGAAAGCACCCAATCGAGGCTCTCCTAACACTTCAAAGCACCACTTACATTGAAATAAGCAAGTGTCCAGATGGTGTAAGTCACCGGTCTGTTTTTAAAAAGAACACTGAGCCACAGACGGGTCCCTTCAGCCAAGAGACAATCTGCCCGGTGATCAGTTGAGTGCTAATTTAGGGTCAAAGGTAGCTACGTAACCTCGGCCATATCTTACCTACTGACACACGCCTGAGCCTGTTCCCTTTTCACCGCCTCAAAGGCAGTTGCAGTGACAGATGGGCATTCTCCACACGCCCAGCCGTAGACTTAAAGCTTCACCCCGTACGCCTCCGCCACACCTCTGCTAGTTGTCACAGTTTGGTCAAACGCCGCAAGAAATGTCCACCTGAAGAGGAAACGTCATCGGACGCCTGATTCCTCCAGTCTCGGTTCAAAAGTGAGAGGCGATAGGAGACTTCTTTTGCCTTGAGCGGTCGTAGCATTCGTAGAGGAGCTTCTGTGAGGGTTAGTCGGCTAAACTGATTCCAGGGTTTCTGGGACTGTTTATGAAGGTGAGTTCATACCGAAGGATACAAAGAAGCATCATTTGAGTGCTCGTACCAAGGGCTGCAACCACAGGCCACAGGGTGGGGGTCAATTCAGTTTACACTCAGGGGGGGGGTTAACTTGCATGATATAGTGTCTATCATATTATCTGACTTTTCACCTTTACCCAGGGACGGCACGACGGATCAGCGAGAGGAAAATGCCAAACACTCGTTTTATTTAGAAAAAATATGCTTTTGTCAGGAATGAAAGAAATCATAAAGTTTGTGTCGGAACAACTCGGCGGCTCCAACACAACTGACTGGTTCGCCTTTTCGCTAAGAAAGTCGTTTTAAAGTCGCCATCAAAAACACAACACTTGGAAAAGATATTATAGTGCAAAATGACCAGATTGTGGATTATGTAAAACGTTCTGAGCGGTGTTGTCATTTCTGAGGCTTGACAGCAACATGACTTTTCTGAAACGGACGACACTTTGGATTGAAACTCTTCTCGTGTTTTTAATCTGAATATTGGATTTATGTTCTGAACTCTCGAATCCACTGAACCTTGCAAGAGGTAGAGAGCACATCAGCTAACCGCTAACAGCTAACCCCTTCCCTCTGTCTCTCTTTCAGCTATAACTATATACTATTTCACAAACTAGAATAATAAATGTATTATTGAGTATATTATTGATCCATTTCCTTCAACAAAAGCACATAATGTCTGTAAATGGTAATCTGTGGGTTGTCTCTAGGCTACATGAGATTGTACCTCCTTGAGTATTAATATCATCTTGCTGGTGTTTCTATGATCGTACTTATTGCAGGGTATTTATACATTTTTTAAATCTTTTCTTTTTGTAATTTTTTATAATTGTTTCAAGGACTTTTGTGTTTCCTTTCTGTCGGGTGTCACGTGGGTGTGAGCGGGTCCTTTGCATCCGTTCGTTGGTACGGGGCGAGTTGACTGAGCGTGCATGCTCCTCTTCAGCAACACCTCGGTTCACCCTTTACGCACACGCTCTTTTTCTCTTTGCCAAATAATGTTTTTGTTTAATTTTCTCTTTATCCATCATTACACTGTAATTTACTCCGAAGCAGTGTGTCCTTATTTCCACACAGGCTTTTTTTTTCTTGTGAACATTACCAACGTAGCCTAATAATCACTGTTTTTTAATGTTATGACTAGTGTATAAATGTTGGCGATAGAATTTATATTAATCTATTTATTTTTGTGGTGAAATGTATAGATATTCTCAGTCGTATATTGTTTAAGAGTTACTATACCTAAACTTTGGGCTAAAATAGCACACGCCTGCCTGGGACATACGAGAGGAGGGCTGGACTGGAAAAAATATTCATACACCCCCCCTCACATCCCCCCCCCCCCCCCCCTCAAACCGGGCATTTCTTCTTTGGGTTAGGCCTCAATTATTTTGCTTTTCTATATTATCATCATCATCATCGTCGTCATTCCAAACCAAGCGCAATAATTCCGAAATCAATCTAGAAGAAGAACATGGACAGATCTCCGTATCCCAAACGTCACCAGCGGTCGGCACCGTCCAGCCCGGGAGGGGAGCTCAATGTGGTCTGTGTCGGTGTTGTCGGTGTGGTAAAAAGTACAAGTGAAATGTTTTTAAATCCCTAAAAGCCTCCTGAACCAGCCTGATCTCCAAAACCTGTTTGTAAAAATGTGTACGAAAATCCTGAACATGCAAATTCGTAGTGATACTTAAAATAATAAATACGGACTGCAACCGATGACGTCACCCTATTCACAGTGAACGGGGACCTGCGCCCCGTAAACACACTTCGTGAAGTCTAACCATGTAAAATAAACGTGTTATGATTGCATTTTTAACAATAAATCAATGTTAAATTGTAAGAATAGAATACTAACCCTAACCCCCTCAAAAAATCCAACATGGCAGAGAGACGTTCACTCAAGAATCCGACATGGTCCGCCATGTTGTTCTCTCCGGGGGCGTGGTTAACCACCGCCAGTTCCTATGTATTGTTACCAATTTGTATGTTCAAGATTTTCGTATCCATTTTTACGAGCAGGTTTTGGGGATCACGTTGCCTGAACTTATATTTGACCTTTTTTTGTAAAGTGTCTGTGAAAACGTGGTGGACAGCGGACGTTCTTGTTCGTTTGTTCTTCGGTTCACGTCCTGATGTGAAAGCCATTTTTAATCCAGCGAGAGCCACCGGCTCCTTTTGCCTAAACTTCAGGCTACTGGCGCCGGTCGAACCTGAAACGGACTCACCTGAAGGACAATAAGGAAGAGGAGAAGCAATACAACATTCGGATCCCCGCTGGAAAAGACAAAAAAGATATCAGTATATAGATATATAGATATATTCATTAAAAGTTCTATATGAAAATTGGGTTGTGTGGATTATTATTGCTCCACAGTGTCGGACCCGCGTGGCCTTTACAAGAAACATTCGGCTTGGAGTTCAGTTTGTGAGGATTTGAAAATTCTTACTAATGCACATTCGGATTGTGCTAACGTTTTTAGTTTTAGCCCAAAAAAAGGTTTTGTCTAAAACTAAAACCGTTTGTTGCGTCACATCAGTAGAAAAATTTGCTGGATATCAATCAGTCAACACTGACTTTGGATTTCGAACGAGATTGTATTACTCTTACTACGTAGTTTTTATTTGCGGAGGAGTGTGTGATGTGCTGCCCTCAACTCTGCATTCCAGGCTTTAGTTGCTTGACTGCGTCCACCCAGGGGAGCGTCTCAGTTTTAATCCCTGATGACAAACCGATGGAGACGCGTTTGGTTGAAGCGTCGAGGAATGGGATTTGGGCCTCGAGGTTTTAATGAGCAGTTCTCGCCGCCTGGAATCCTCCTGTCGCCGCTGTGAGGGGCAGCCCGGAGAGCGAGAAGTGGGTTTATTTGTGACCATGCGAGGATGAAATGACGCTAATATTTCTGCCATTTAGTCGGCACACCTGCTGGTTTCTGGACAGCGAACAGTTCACTGAGCATGTTGAGTCTTTGGGATCGATGAAAGCCAAACGCTAAGACGATATTCCTCTAAAGGGGAAAAACACCACCAGCGTGTGAGCATCAGCAATGGTTGGAACATTTTTACTTAGCAAGCTTTTTGGAGCAGAAACTAAATCAGCGTCCTCGCGTCCTGCTTCTACATCCACTCAGCAGTTTGGACCGAGAGCCAAAGATGTCGGATGAAAGGTTCCCATCAAAGGGATGATATGTAAGAACGATCAGGGTGGGTTTTAATTTAAACTGAACAGTTTTTCGTGAATACAGAACCATCACAGCCACGGGAGTCTGTCCCCTGTGAGGACATTCTGCAGATTTCACTTCCCGTCTTCAATCAGATGCTCCGCCTCCCAATTTCTCAAAAAATGTTTGACATTTTATCTATTATGTTTAAAAGTAATTTGTGAATTTTAGATTTTTAGTAAATTACAATTATCTAAGAGGTTTGGGAAATTGTGTGTGTCCGTACGGTTATATTATTCCCTCTTTACTTTTCCCTCGATATGAAATGTGTTATTTTAACGCCGATGGACACAAGAGGAGTTCAGCAGTGGAGCACATACGATTTCAAGAACACTGTTTAAATTCAGTTTAAAGTTTAAACATTTTGTTTCTAAATCACGAAAAGCACATTGTAACAATTTGGCCATTTAAAAATGTTGTAGTCGGTACTACGTTCCAATTCCAAAAAAGAAGATGGTGAAAAATGTTGATTAGAGACTTCAAAAGAGCCGTCAGCAAACCAGCGTAGACGGAGAATCCTCGCGGCTTTTAATAGCTGGAATAGCTCGGTCGAGGTAAACAATCATATCCAAACTGTCGACAGTCAATTTTATAAATCAGTTAAAGCATCTGACAAAGCTGCATTGTGCATTTAAAGTATTTCCTCCCCAGCTGCCTGGACGTGTTTAAACTCTGTGGAGAGACGCGTTGGGAAAAGACCACCAGCTTCTGCTCACAGCCAATAAACCCGCAAATATTTGGTATCGATTTTCGCCGAGCGGCCTCTTCACTCGAGTTCTCTTCTTCTTCTTCTTCTTCTTGGAGGAGGGTTCCGACGCACTGGGGGGGCGTTGAGTTGGTCGAGGAGGAGGCGCGTTGCACACTTTGCCAACACGTGACAGACAGAGACGAGGACCATGTGACTCCCTGGGCTGCGGGGACGGAGATCAGATGGACGCATGACGTCAGGGGTTCAGTTTAAGGCCGGTCCTCACATCGCGAAACCCCCCCGGCGGGTATCACCCAATTTGAGCGGCGCACACGCGGGAGGAGGAGGCTCGAGCGAGGGAATCTGAGAGTGTTTTGTGTGCACGGCGAGCGTCTCCGGGTTTGCGTTTCTCCTGCCAGGTTCCATATTTAGCCAAACAGCAGGCGAGGGGGGAGGTCAGTGTGGTGACTGAGAATCCCAGCGTGAGAAAGCGTCCGCGGAGGAAAACACGGGTCGGAACCAAGCTCAAAGCAGGAGGCCCAAAGGCCCGGCTGAGGACTCTGAGAAAGAAGGAGCCTCGGCGGTGGTCTGGCGGTCTGTATCGCATAACGTGCCACTGAAACATCCCGCGCTCAAATATAGCCGGGACCTTTGTTCCACGTCAAAGGGCTCTTATTTCCTGCTGCTCCTCGCAGTTCACTCTGTCAATAACGTTAAAAAGAATCTCATTAAGCAGCTGCAACGTGATCTTTTAAGGGCCGAGAATCTTCAGCCACTTTTAAAGACAGATGACGGTTGATTTAGTTGTTCCATCGGTTTATAATATGCAGTGGGCTTCATGTTTCAGGTATGATAAATAAAACACATCGGCACCTACACAATAATGATTTTATTTAATTTCTGCTGCTGCGGTTTGTTTAATAAGAATACAGGAACGATGTGTCTGCTGTCTGAGAAAAGACGCGTTATGAAAGCAGTAAAAGAGAACAGCGCTCCGTGTTTAGTGATCAAGAACACATGAAGTGAGCATCTGTCTGAACCTCATAGAATTTTAACTTCAGAAGTTTGATAGTTACATTGCAGGAATGTGTGGATATTTCAAATATAGAGGATATAAAAACTATTTAATGTAATGACTTTCCGCTGGGCCCAAGTATTAGATTATGCTTATAATAAGTAACAAGTGAGGTTCAGCGTTACATTTAAAAGCGATGGTAATCCAGCACAAACCCAAAGAGGATGCTTTGATTAGTGGTGTCATTTTTCCTCCCCAGGTGTAAAGTGGGACGGTTCATTATGACGAGGCAGCGGCTGTAATCTGAGAATGTGTTGAGGTTGCAGAAAAGGAGATAAACGGAACCTGAGAGTGGAAGAAATTAAATATTCATGTCGTGTTTAATAATAAAATGAAGTCATTCATACATAGTTGGTTCACCTCCCAATCGGGCTCAGAGAGGCACTTTGCTTTAACTTGATCCATCCGAGCAGAATACAGACGCAACAACATGGCCGCTGTCACGCGGTTGAGCTGATTAACCGATGTTTTCGTCCTCAGTCAGCACAAATGTTTCTAGCTGTATCCGCTCGACAGACAATATGTAAAGCTGACACGTAATCTAAACCAAGCGCACGTACCCTTCTTACAGCGTGTGCTGCCTCTAATACAATGCATGTGAAACCTGAAAATAACGGCGAAGCAATCTCTCTGCTAAGACGTCTTTGGGAAACACTCACGTCCCTCCCCGTCAAACAAAAGTGCAACGCGAAACGCTGTCCTTCTGGGGGAGGCACCTCTGCCAGGGGCTGTAGGGCAGCGCCAGCAGCAGGAAGAGCACCCCGCCCACGGTAAGGACGGCCGCCGCACAGCCGATGCACGTCACCGACCAGGACAGCTCGTGGTGGAGAGGAACCGTGTGGTCACTGGCCAGGAAGGCCACGACGGACTGGTGGAAAACCATCAGAGTGACAAGAACCAGGACCCCTGTGGGAGAGTCATCGGACTGTCATCAACGTACCAATGTCCACTAATCAAGGTCCACCGAAAGCCCAAACGTTGTGTGTTGTTGCCTCTGCTGACCTGACAGAATAAAGCACACGGACGCTGGTTTGAGGAAGAAGACTATCTCTTTGCTGAGGGCCATGGTGATGCAAATGGCCCCCATCACCATTAGGAACAGGCTGAACAGGGCCAACATGGCCGCCGCTACGTTCAGATCTGCACAGAGAAAGGAGGAAAGTGGCTGTTATCGCTGACCTTCACATTAATAGGAAAACTTGTTTTGACTTTTATTCACAATACGTTTTTTGATCTAACATATTCTGACTTTAAAATATGTTAGACTAAAATTCTTTTTAAAATAAGATCTTTGGATTTTTTTTCAAAAACATTTTTTTATCTAATATTTTTTGACCTTTTTTCCATGGCATCTTTTAACAGTACATACATATTTTTTTGCGTATGACATTTTTAGACCCAACATATTTGGTCTTTTCTTTCCAAATATATTTTCACCAAATATTTTCTACTTTTTTGTCAAAATATTTGTCTACCTACCTATATTTTTTTACTTTTTTACTATGACGTTTTTTGACCTAACGTCTTTTTTTCCAAATATTCTTTGACTTAATATTTCCACTCGGGTCAGTTGACCATTTTCATGAAGTTATTTCACCTTATATTTTGGACTTTCCTTTCAATATATTTTTGAACCGTATATTTTTTTACTTTCGTTCCACAATATTTTTACCTTAAAAAAAATTATTATTATTTCATTTTGGGATATAAACTCACTTTGTTAAAATAACTCATTTTGCTTATTCAACGCATGTATACATACGTAAGTATATCTTAGATAATAGAAAATAGAAAAATGTTTTGTCACATTACGATTCCACTTTATATTCATATTAATCATGAAGGAATATATTTGTTATCTACAATCCCTGTTCTAGTATGGTGTTACAGACTCATGGCTGTGTGTGTTGAAACACCACAGCGTGACCAGCGAACAATACGATTTAAATGTACGTCTGTTGTTCCTTATTCGGCGTATGGCCCTGCGATCTCAATACATTACGGAGCTGCCAGTGAAATGAGAGGTTAGACGACTGCTCGGAGACACTTGAACGCAGCGTGGGCGGAATACATTTCTAGCACTCACAGAGAAGACAATGGGCAACCTGAAAGAGTGCAGTGAAGAAGTGAAGGGAGGATGAGAGAAAGGCGTATGACGGACAGGCGACTGAGGAATAAAGAGAATGGTGGCGGGAGATGCAGGGTTGCAGGGAGGGAGGGAGGTGAAGGAGAGGAAGAGGGATAAAGAAAGCAGGGAGTGGGCGGGTGAGGTGGGACAGCGGTTCAGAGAGGCCTAGAGAGCAGAAAGAGCTGCATGACTCACTCTTCCTTGTTGTCTTCTGAAATATCACAGCATTTTCCCCCGTGGTAAAAAACTTGAAGTATGTGCAGTTTGATGCTGCAGGAGTGAAAAAAGAGGCACTGTTAAACGAGTTAATCTACCGTAGCTAAAGACGAGATAAAGATTTAGATGAACATCCCTCTCAGCCCTTTGGTTTTCACAATTCTCCATCATGCATCATCAGCCGTGAACGACAATGACAAGCTCAAGGTGACAATCCAAAGCCTCCTGCCAATTAGCATTTTGCCGTCCCGATGATGTGTCACAGTAATTGGAGTTTGGCCACCAAATGCAATTTGACACCTCAGTCTGTTCCTTCGCACATTTGTGCACACAAGCAAGCTAAACAGGCACACACATCACTGTTAATTAGGTTGATCAAAGCTGCAATCTGTGGATACAAGAGACACAACAGCTATCACCCTCGAGAGGAGCTGCACTCAAATCTCATTGACAAAATGTGTCATCCCATCAAGAAATGAAGGGATCTGTGCAACAGGCCAGACAGACAATTGGACTCTCCTCTCTATAACTCATACACTTCACTCATGTAAATGCCTCTTCAGCTGCTCAGAAAAACGTGACCATATTAATTGAAGTGCAATTTGAAAGTTGACCAAAGGGAGTTGTATCTTCATCCAAACATGTAAATAAGGTATCAGTATCTCTTCACATTTACATTTACAGTAAGTAACCGTGTGAATCAGTCCCGGTCGTCCAACAGGCGTCCCGTATGGAACCCACGACGAACACACCCAGAGCTTCTGGAGGACTTTTGTGTTCGGCTCTTTATTCGAGTCATTCTTCAAAAGTGGAGCTCATGCGAGTCATAGAACAGTGGAGGGATACGGCGAGAGAACGATGACAACTTGGTCTTTAACTATAACAACTGGTCTCATGTAGTTTTTAACTATATCAACTGGTCTCAGGCCCTCGGCATCTGGATACTAAAACACAGCAAAGTATATATTTTGTGTATTGCTGTCATGACCAGTTCTCCTTTTCCAGGTTGGTTCCTGACCTCTACGGGACTTTTTTAAAACAAGTAGAGACTCAAACCAGTAAAAAGAGAATTGTTGCTCATGAGCCGAGAACATAAACCAAACGATGTCACCTGTCACTGGACCCAAAAGCAACCGGAGGGACTCGTTCTCTGTGTAGCAGCGACTCAGCCCGACAGCCTTCAAACACTGAGCAGGCATCAGAGGCTCAGGTGGTCCTCTCATTCATGCCATCTGGCTTCCCCAAACTGAGCTGTGCAACAGGTTTGAGAGTCGGCCAGTTGGTCCGTCAACCATCATCCTGAAACTCGCACAGAGCGGTCAGCTGTCGAAGGCCGTTAGACGGCCGAGCAGTCGGTGAATCTGTGAGGCACCTCCAGGTAGTTCAGAAGGTCCACAGCTCTCTCTCTCTGGGTCGATGTCGGACACCCACAAGGTCTTTGTGCAGCTCTTCCACAGGCCGTAGTGAGCTGTCAGACACGTCTGCAAAAAGACAAAGAAAAACGACACAATCCATTCCTAATGAAGCTGTACAATAAAAACGTGTCTAAACAAGGATAAGACTGGAAACACTCATAGTGTGTTTAAGGCTGGAGAATGAAACATGTGTTTTTAAGACAGGGTTCCTGAAACGGGGCCTAACAGAGGCTTCCACTGCAGAAGCCCAGTATGCCCCCTTTGCATCAGGGGACAACCAGCAGCAACTGGTCAGCCGACCTGAGTGACCTTGTGGAAGCAAGTTTGAAAAGGTCAACGACCTACAAAGTTATTAAGGAGCATATGTGCTCTCACCTGCACATTCGTGTAATGTAACATGCAGTTCTAGTTTCTTCATCTCCGTGTTTGGGTGGAGACACTGAACACATTTATTCTGTTTTTTCGCACTTCAGGATATAATGTTACTACAAGACAAAGCGCCTGTTTATTGATGACTCCAATAGTACACCTGGTTGTTGTAGAAACCCTTAGGAGGTGACAGCTCCACCCAGAACTCCGTCCCCATCCCGAGGACCGTGAGGACTACGCCCACGATGGCCACGAAGAAAGCCAACTTGATCTGGTGAAGGAACACAATACAAAACAGTGAGTGTTCATATTGTAGGCAACAATGAAATCAAGAGCGAGCAAGAAGAGATTTATGTGCACATATTTAGCTTTATCGCATATATACAGTTTATCTGACTGAGGAGATTTCATTCATCTTTAGTCGTGTCCATTGCATTTTTTTTGCACTTTCAGCCACCATGACTTTAATTTCTGTGGAGTTCATTAGAAAGGGGATGAACATGTGAACTGGATCCACACAAAGAGAACAACCAAGCTGATCAAGAAAATGGAGCAGATGTGCTTCATGTCGATGGAGGACATTTATCACCAGCATGCGCCACAACACACATTAAACGTAACATGAAGCCGGTCACCTTCCCTTCCTGCGCCTCGCTCAAGAAGTGTCCCGACGTCGTCCTGCGTCGCTTGTTCCCCCCGAATGTACTGCGTCCAGCCATGAGGCCGGACATGGCCCCCGCACCCTGGGGTGCTCCTCCCGGCGCAGCCCCCCCCCCTGGCGCCGCCGGACCAATAGTACGGCCCTCCTCATCGGTCACAAAGAAGGTGGACCACATGTTGTGACAAAAATAGAAAAAACAACTAAAGGAGCCAAGTGGGATTAAGTTCAGGGAGCTTCGCTCTGGGCACGAACGGCTGACACTTTGGCGATAGAAAAAGTTTAAGTTAAACTTGTTGATGATGTTAAAGTATGATAATGTCAAACAGTTGCATCTGACAGAGAGGAAGGAGAAGCATGGAGGAGGTAGAACAAGAAAAGAAAAATACAATCAGATGAGAACTAACAGCTCAAAAAGTGTCATTCAAGAGTATAAGAACCCTTGAGCAGACAAAGAAGGGAAGGAGCCTTCTCTTGAAAAATGATTTAAAATGAATTAATTAATCATCATGAAAGCATGATGTGAAATATGGAGGGCAAAGTGTGGCCACTGAGTCACTAGAGGTAGAAGTCAGGAGTGGATGAAGTGTTTCCTAGAGATAGAAGGAAGGACAAAAGAAAAGAGGAGAAGGTCAAAGTTTTAATGTGAATATGTGTGTGTACACAAACATCTAAAGGAGCATCTTGCACAAACATTTAAAAGTTGATAAAAACAGAAATGTCTTGTCAGAAGTGTAGACATTGGTGCACATTCTATCAAACAAAAATAAACCAAACTATTTATGTGTGAATGAATAATTATAATGCTGTTTACATGTTTCAAAATAAACTCTGAAGATGGAAACCGCCAATAAAGTGAAGTCATTTTTGTTGTTGCTCAAATCCCCCAGATTAAGTTTACATGAATCTTAATTAACAGAAAAAAACAAATCCTTCCAGATCAGGTACCGAATAAACCAAAATCACAGGGAATATTCAAAAGGAAAAAGACAAAGCGCAAACAAAGCTAGACGCAGCATCCTCCGATCACAAACATTTCTGTTTAATGTTTAATGTCTGTTGTCTGTTTAAATGTATTCTATTATTTATTTAGATGACAGTAAACACACAGTGCTAAAAATCATACCGCTTTCTATTCTGAGTCGCTTTGTGGAACCTCAGGAACACAAAAAACACAAACCGTAACCTACGATTTATTCCGATAGCTGTGTGATGGAGGTGTGACGCAGACACGCTGCCGATGAATCGAATCCTAAACCCTTTATGTCTGTGGAGCGACTGAAGCAGATTTCCCCAAATATAAATGGTTTATATCATATTCAGTCGTCAACACAAACCGTATCGGTAAAATCTCAGTCAAGCAGAGGTCTAATGCATCCATCAAATACCACCGGTATGTATATAAATATACACTATAAAGGTCATAAATGTGTTCAGAAACTGGAAGAAATAATAAACTATTATTATGAAATGTTTACTTTTTATGTTCTTCATTGTACGACTTCAGCTGGTGGAGAAAACGCCGGGTCAAGACATTCTGTTTTTATGAAAGTATGTATCTAAAGACTAGAGATGATATTTCAGTTCGCTGACAATCTTCAAATGAATAAAATATTCAGAAAAGGAAACATTATATTTTAAAAAAGAGAAATCAAGTAATGAAAAAATCATGCTAAATGTTCCCTCAGAATGGTAATTCTAGTAGAAAATAAGTTAAGGCTGCCAAACTAATCACGGGTTTCTCTAATGTGTCTCAGTGGGCACAAATAAATCAACCGGAAATATAAAAAAATATCAAAATAAAAAAATGATATTTGGGTGCGTGCAATTTACCAAAATGGGGATAATTCGAATCATTATTGGATAAAAAAGACAAACCGCATTGACGTTTATCAAAGAATAAGTTAGTTAAAGTATGTTGTTATTGATCAAGAACTTAAGAAAATAAGTGCAGTGAAATCTGCTGTCCTTACTCGTGAAATCTGCTGCGAAGCCAGACGAGGGAACTCATCGTGTCGACTGACCAGCGACCGACTTCAGCAGCTTCTCCCCTGAAACACGTCCGAAGACGAGCCGAGACGTCATCGGCAGGCCGAGTTAAAGGAAACTGACCTCCAAGGACGCTCCACTTAGGCACCGTTTGAAGAAGAGGCAGTACAGCTTTATGCCCCACCAGCCCGACCCCCCCCCCCCCCCCCGGCACCCACCCACCCAAAGCCCTCCCATCCAGCCCACCTGCCAAAAAAATATCATTTTGAAGTGAGACACATTAGTCTAAGTCCCCCCCCCCCCAAACACACACACTTCACAAACACCACAACAATATTAACAAGTTGCTGACCTGGTTTCTGTGTGTGTGCTTCTGTTCGGAGTGACGGAGGGGGGGAGGTGAGGAAAGGGAGTGACGGAGGGGGCGAGGTGAGGAAAGGGAGTGACGGAGGGGGCGAGGTGAGGAAAGGGAGTGACGGAGGGAGTGAGAGGTGGGAGGGAGGGAGGGGGACGGGGGAAAGAGGGTGGAGGTGTTACGTACGCTAGATGATTGGGGTGTTAAGATGGTATTTGAAGCTGAAAAAGCATCAGCTGAATGCCCAAATATGTGTGTGTTTGTGTGTGTGTGTGTGTAGGTTTGCATAAATATCTATTGTGTGTTTTCTGTGTGTGTTTGCATGTCTGTGTAGCCATAAGCCTTAAATGTATGCGTGATGTGCGTATGTGCGTATGTGTGTGGGCGAGGGGACGGATTATTTTAAAAAATAACCCCTTTTATCTTAAAGCTTTTTTTTAAATGACCAGAAACACAGATCCACGTTTGGTTGGATGTGTGCGATGGTCCCTTGTTGGTAGTGTAGGAATGAATGTGTGTTAGCGTGTGTGATACAATAACTTTAAAATGTATCTCACCACTCACACAACCCCATCTCCTTATCTGTGTGTGTGTGTGTGTGTGTGTGTGTGTGTGTGTGTGTGTGTGGAAGCTATGCCTCCCTTGCATCTATTTCTGCCCCCCACCTGTTAATGACATTAAAGCCGACCCGGGGGGGAAAGGGCTGCAGCCGGGGTTTGTGTCAGCTGGACTCTGGCCGTCAGGAGGGAACTGTGGGTTCATCACCTCCAAAACCTGCTAAACGGCCGGTCGGCTCCAGTGGCGGAATGTTAGAAACCGCCGGATTGCTTCCGTCACAGCCTGCTGACAGATTCTGTTCCTACTGGGAGACGACCGTCTGAAACACATGGACAGAGCGCTACGCTGCCATTAAAACATGAGAGTTCAGTTCAAATGTACGACGTGTTGAAGCGCGGCACCAATAGCTGCAGCATTACATCACATAACAGGTCATTTAGCAGACGCTTTTATCCAAAGCGACTTACACTTTAAACCGATGGCTTTTTCACATTTTTGCCCAGGGAGCAATTAGGGGTCAGGTGTCTTGCTCAGGCACACTTTGACATGGGGCAGCCTGGACTCGAACCACCAACCACACCTTCTCTAACCCCTGCGCCACGACGACCCAGCATGTGGCCATCGATGAAACCAACCATTATTTAATTACAAACTGACTAGTTGATATTGTTAGACATTGATTACCAACTCTTAAAGAAGCAGGGAGAGCGAGGATCAAGCAATCACAGCTCATTTTACAATCTGTTTTATTCAGGAACATTCTAGTTGGATATTGACATTACAGCGTGTATAGTTGTAGTATTCATGGCTATTTGTACATCAGTCTGAGGGTACGGAGAGAATTCTGCAGTCAGATGTGCATTGTGATAAAAGGTGTGTGTGCAAACACAAGAAGGTCGGACAGACGCCGACGGACGGAGACGGAGGACTGAGTGGAATGGAAACGGCAGACGGATCAAGTGGAGGAGAACCGAGAAGAGAAGAACCAAAGAATGATGGACACCAGACGGGCTCAGTCCGTTACCTCAGCAGCCAAATTAAAATGCACAGCATGCTGAGGCAGCGGATGGAGGCTGATGGAGGCGGATGGAGGCTCCATAGTTTTCCGCTGGTTACATAATTTTTATAATTAATAGTCAGCCCCGAGGCTACTGGGAACCAAAAAGGATGAAATTATTTTTTTCTAACTTTCACCTTTTGTTTGGCCCCATAAAGCCAACCAGCCCATTTTTTATTAATAGTTTCATTTGCTGATGAACTGTTTATGCTGCAATTTGAAATTTCTGTTTTCAAGAAACAGCCAGAGATTTATTGTTTCTTTGGGGTCTTTCTTTTGTAAAAAAAAAGATAATCATGTAAAGCTCCCTCGGCCAATGAGCCAACTCATGAACCAGTGACCTCCCGGTGTGCTGACCTCTTATCAGCATCACAAGCACCTTCAAGAAGCGCAGGTGCTCAAAAGACATTTAGGTATTTGTCTTGTAGAGGAAACAGCAGAGCCCCGTGCAGCTACGAGCTCAGCCATGAGACGCTCTCCCGGCAGAGAGGACGTGGCGCTGAGCCGCTCCGACGCCAACAGACAGTCAGGAGCCTGAACCCTGACCTTTGTGTTTCGCAGGTTGAGTTCTGATTTGATTAAAGAGCTGGATTCGTCGGGATGTTTGACCTGCCGTTGGGGAGGAAGCACCTCCAGCTGAGGTTCATGAGGTTCGTGAGATTGAAGGAAGTCTGGTGCTGTGCATCGACGGATGTTACTTCCAACTGGAGACCAGACAGCTCTGTAGGCAGGATCTCATATTCTTAGAACTATAGCTGGTTCTATGGCGGCAGAAAGACGAGTCTGTCTGTACATCACATCTTAAAGTCAGCTCTCTATACACGGCCCTTTGTCTGGTTTCTTAGTTTTCTCTCATCCTCTCACCTCCTCCAACAGCAGCTCTCCTTCGTCTTTACTTGTTGTTGCATGAAAGACAATTAGACACAATTATCCTCCTGCGTCAGCAATGACCTTCGGGTCACGGTCTAAATAAGCGTATGTATAAAGTGATCTCGGCGATGTTTAATGGTTATTACGGCCGAATGAAGCTCATTTGAAGGCAGCATTGTGTTTCCTGTGAGTTCCATTCTATGTTATTTTGCAAATCAAGTCTCTCTGATGCACATAAAATGGGACAAATTGTGGAGCTCCATTAGTCTCCTTGTGAATAGCAAAATGCTCTCTGAAAACTTGGGTTGCCGTTATTTGGCACAAAAAACTGTAATTGGACCAATAGCAGATGTGATAGAGACAACATGAAGACATGAGAGAGATAACTTAAGCCTTCCTATGGTGCTGACATGGATCCATCTGCACTGACAGGTTCTATCTTCGTGGTATGTCGGTATGTCAGCCTTGAAAAAACTAGAATGTTCGCTAGTGATGTCATCGTTCTTACCAGTGACGTCATCGCCCACCTTTTTTAATACGTTGGAGTCACAGTAGGCCACATTCTAAACTCCCGTTGACGTGCATTGTTCTCTCTCCTCACACTGCAGGACCAACACGTTGCCGCCATTCACGTCCACTCAGGAATCTCCGCCCACTTTCCCTGAATAGTCCAGCAGAATGATTAACGCTCATCCTGACCGCCTGACCCACATTCTCATCGTTCTCTATCTCTTAACCTTGTTTATCTCATCGGCCCGTCCACCTCGTTTGGACCCTTCTTGCTTTTTGACCTTCCGTCTTAATCTAAATGAACACATTTAGGGACAAAGTCATTTCCTGACGTCAGCAGCACCTGAAAAAAGGAGCCGGTCTGTGAAAATAGCTTCACTCAAAGGTACCAGATATCAGTTGGAGAACCAGTGTGAGTGTTGAACCATCTCGTGTATGCAAACTGGGATTGATTGTCATTTATCCTGGAAGCTGTTTAAAGTGTCGGACTCCCTGAATCACCAGTTATATGATTAATGCTGTTACAAAGCTAAAGCCAGTGGTTTAAATTAAACAATGACAATATATGAGGTAAAAACACATTTTACTTTCGGCTTGTAAGTCGTTGGTTCCAAATCAAATCCTACAGGGACAATATTACATTATTACAGGTCATTTATCTGTCGCTTTTATCCAAAGCGGCTTACATTCTTAACACATGGCGTTATTACATTTTGGCCCAGGGAGCAATTCAGGGTCAGGTGTCTTGCTCAGGGACACTTCAACATGGGGCAGCTGGGACTCGAACCACCAACCTTGTTAGACTCTGACTTAACGGTTTGCAGCTTTTAATGACACTAAGATGGCGACTTGAAGCTGGTTCGTTTGGACTTCGGCTCAATGACTTCAAACTAAACGTTGGTTTGCTGTTGACGTGTCCATCGACTGCTCATAGAGGACAGTAACCATCCTGTGGCAGACAAACGGATTCTAATCACTGGATTTAAGGTGGCAAAGAAAGCAGAATGTAAAAGAATAAAGTCTTTTGGCCGTCCACTCAGCCTCCAACCTGCCCCGTGGGGTTTATTCTATTTATGAAGATGCCGGAGGCTTAGAGCGGGTTCCCCAAAGCACAGGCGCCACACTTGATAAGCTTTAAATCCCTCAAAACACTGAATAGAATTTATATGTATATATATTTCTAGTGCTGTGGATCCATCGATGCAACAAGGTTACTGTTAACAAGTAACCACTAACAATCTGCTTATTTATCCACCACAGTGTGGCTTATTTTTAGGGTGTTTCTATTTATGGAACAAACAACAACCCATAGCAGTGTTTACTGGGATGAGCTCATCTGCAGGTTGCAATAAAAAACTGTTAAGTCACTGTGCAGAGTAACGGGGGTCAGAGAGGGCGAAGAAGTCTTTTGGACCGTCAGGGGGGGGGGTCAGAGAGGGAGGGTCAGTGGGTCGGCCTGCAGCAGACTTATGAAACATGCTTAGGTGGAGGAACGGGTGGAGACCGGCATGTAAGCTGTGAAGTTCACAGGGCGTCCCGACGTGACTCGTGGATTAAGATCACAAACACTTTGATGGGGAGACACTTCACAGGCATGTTCCCTGACACGAAGCATCATTTCCTGTGAGTTTCACTGAGGGAGACCTGCAAACAGCCCGTATGGAGGAATATCCACGCTGCGTACGCGAGGCGCTGGATGAGACCCGTAGGCTGGTGGATGTGAGAGGGAAGGGTTCCGTAGTCTTCGGCACCCCCCCCCCCCGACACCCCGACACCCTCTAACGATATACAGCAGAATAGAAGATGACTGACTGCCTTTCACATTGGAGCTTTAAGAGGAACAAATCTTCATTATTACATAACAGCTCATTTAGCTGGCACTTTTATCCAAAACGATTTACATTGTATTTTTAAACCACGGCTTTTTACATTTTTGCCCAGGGAGCAGCCAGGGGTCAGGTGTCTTGCTCAGGGACACTTCGACATGGAGCAGCCGGGGATCGAACCACCAACCTTCCGGTTCCCGGCGCACCCCCTCTACCCCCTATGTTACCCATCTACTAACATGCATATTTAAGTATATTTAGAGCTTAATGATGCATCAAGACATTTGCAGTTGTTTGAATGGAGTTTAGTTTCATTATTAAACTCAATACTTTGTGTTCTAAATAAAATGCACAGTAAATATCAAATAGGAAACAACAGTCCAGGGAGAAGCACAGAAAGACTTTTATTTACTCCCACATGCAGTGCAGAAAATACACTGTTTGTTTTTGAGTAGTTCCCACTTCTTTTTTTCTGGACTGCAGCGTTGGTGACTTTCACACTCTCGTTCTTACTATCAGTGTACATGTGAACCGCAGCGACGCGTTTACACACTTCTTAAGGACACTAAAGGTCAACGTAATATACAGCACATCAACACGGAAATCCCAAATTGATTACTGATATAAGACAATAGTGTGCATGTGTGCGTCCATGTGTGTGTGAGTGTGCGTGTGTGTGTGTGTGTGCGTGTGTGTGTGTGTGTGTGTGTGTGTGCGTGTGTGTGTGTGTGTGTGTGTGTGTGTGTGTGCGTGTGAGAGAGAGAGAGAGAGAGAGAGACTCAGAGAAGGAGAGAGAGAATCATCCCAAAGCCGATCCTGCTGCAGCTGATCAGCGAGCTGTGAGGACTAAACAGCTTGAGGCTTCTCACATGCCGGCAGGTAAGAAACTTTTAGTTTATTTCTCACGCAGTTATTTGTTATTTCCTCAGAAAAACTCTTTAACCTTGTAAACATGCAGGTTGAACCGTCTCTTCTGAGCTACGAGGCTTCGTATCGCTGGGACACAAAGCGTCTGTTTACAGGGGTGTAAATAATTCTCCATTCACTTCAAACCATCCGCACAAGTGTGTCTGTTGTGCAACCTGGTAGATGTAAGGTGTGATAGATTTGGTTATGTGATGGACTTTCTCAGGGCACAGAATTTACAGTTGACCATAAGCTGCAAAGCTTATGTGCTGTAGGTAAATACCGCACATTCAGGACAGCAGTAATTATCTCATTACCTGCCAGCGCAGGTCACATTTGTCTCATAATTCATGTGTGCAATGGTTTGGTACTGGACATGTGATAGAAGGGCGTCTTTTTGTCACCCCTCTACGTCCCGCTACGTCTCTCCACTTATCACGTCTTCATATCTGTCCGCTTGATATTGGACCACTGCTGTATTCTCCCCTCCGCTGGCTAATGGTCTTAGCGTAGCTTGACAAGCCACTGCATGTGCACACGTGTGTACACCACCATGGCTTGGTGATGTACACACTGATGACAATGATTGTGTTGTTTACATGGGAACAAGATCCTATTTGATACAGCATCACTACAGTGCTTTGGACTTATTATTCAGTGAAACGGGTCCACCTCCGTGAAGCAGAATCCGTACTGTGAACAGGAGCGATGGGATATTCTTGTTCTTTTAAGACGAACCGAATGTTTGGTCTGATGTCTTTCTTCACTGTGCGCTGGTTTCACCGTCCTTCAGGGTGTCACCTGGCGATAGATGGCCTTTGTCTAGAAGTATAATGGTAGAAAAGAGAAGGAACGAGGTGGAAGTTTTACTCCAAAGCAGTTTTTGGAAACGCAAGCTGTCCAGGGTAAGAGGTGCATTTTGTAGTGAAGTGAACAAGTGCGCAATCAAAAGTAAAAATGAATTCATATGAAGGATGGACGCCTGCTTTGTGTGTTCAAAAGGAAAGTTCAAGTCCTCCCGTCCAACAAAACGTCCCCCTCATGAAAATTAAACACAACTTATAGTAATAATAATAATATAATATAATAATATCTCACAAAAAGGTGTCTAAGTTAAACTTCGCCATGAAAAGTCTTGAAAAGTCTACTTCAAAAAAAGCTAAAGCTTGAAGAGCTTGAACGTCCAGATTAGTTTAAACGCTCAATGGAGAAGCTGAAAACTTGGGTTTGAGTTTTTACACGCCATTGATTGCTTTGCACACGCATGCTCTTTTCCTCTGGTGACAACAAAGGCTCAGCCGTGTGGGGGGGCGGTGGGGCGGTGTGGGTGGGGGATTGGACCCTGTGGCCAATCCTTCGTTAAATAGCAATAAATCCAAGCAATCCAATTTGTCTGCCACCCTGGGGAGGAGGATGCATGTTCCTGTGGTCTGCTGTGTGCATGTAGGATGTTTATCAGAAAAGAATGTGTTTTCTACACTAAAATAAAAACCATTACACATGTTCAATGCAATATAATGTGATCAAAATATTTGCCTTATGTTTAGGTTCAAATGCAGTGGTGCAGTAACCACAGGTGCACAACTGATGGAGCGTCCTACTTTGTTTAGCCACTCAATGGGTCATTGTATTTGCATCAGCAAAGGGGAAATAGCCGTACCTAATGCCCCTGCTGATGCTCTTTGGGCTCATGCGTGACGTCTTGTGCTTCAGTAAAGTATCATGTCTCATAGATCTCCACTAACGTTGTCTCTACGTATTACACGGTGGAGCTCACTGTCAGATTAAGGCCCTTTTCTATTGGCTGCATCTGATTGCCTCATTAAACTGCACTCAGTGACAGACACATAAGACATGTCGAGCAAACAAGCACGGTATAACATTTTGATGAGTAACATTTAGAGGGGCCGGACTAACTATTGCCCCTTAAATCTAATCTTTCTGCAAAGCTGAGCTGATGGGTTGCGGATGCAGCTTCAAACTTCAGTTGACCAGAGAAGAATATTGCCGAGGGGACAAAGCGGCGGAGGTGGACGAGCCGTTAAACCCACCGGCCTCCTGCTCTGCTCATTATCTTACCAAGAACTCAAACTGCTGAGCTGTGGTTTGGGGGGATATTAATTGGCTGTAGTCTTATTACAGTATCGCTTGCTGTAGCCTTGATAATCCCCAACTGCCCCTCCCTCCCCCCTTAGCGCCGTAGACTGCATCACTGAACTTGTGCTGTGGTCTGCTGTCCCCGTGCTGGATATCAGATTGATTGTTAATGAGACAGATCACCTTTGAGGTATTTACAACCCAGAGTCCCTTTTCTTTATGTTTCATTCTGGTCCTCCTCTCGTTCACATCTCGTCCAATTGTTGCTCGGATATTGCTGTGTGAATTATTCATGCTGGGAACTGGAACATACACTCAATAAATAAATCAATATACTCAAGTCCTCCTTTGATAAACTAATTCAAAAGTTCCACTTTGATATTTGTCATGTATTCTGTCTCAGTTTGTCTTGACTGGTGTTTGTGGTACCTTCCCCGTCCTCCAGGTAAGAGCAGCCTGGGACCAGATGGGTGGTTAGAAGCCAAAGTTAAAGGGATTACTCTTGGCTGTCGAACACAGGAGGTCCTTGGAGCCGAACAGGATCACCTGGCTGGCGGAGGCCGGACCCCCCCCCCTCCCCTCCCAGGACGCAGGACCTATCGAGCGCAGCTCTCCCGGCGTGTTCACTAGCCATGGAGCCCCGACTTTGAGTTTGTGCTGCTCGCGGAATTAACGCTGACTGGGAGGAGACTTCATCTGGTCTTTCGCTGCTGACATGTGTTGCACCACCACGTCTCCATCCCCCGCGTACGATCTCCATTCATGCTGTTCGTCACATCGAGACTAAGGCCCAGGAGGACGCTGGTCGTTTGTCGAGGAATAACTTGGGCCAAATATGGCCAGAGACGTGAGTCCTCCGAGCCTCATGCCTCTGTCGGCAAGATACCAGGAACGGGATGGCACCTCTCTGGGGTTCATCCTCCCTTCCTTCCCCCTGCGTTTTCTAATTCTCTACTACTTCCTGTCATGTGCGGTGTCAGTAACAGGAAATTTGCCAGGCATTGAATATGACTACGGCATTAGCCCCAAATTTGTCTGCACCCCGATTCCCCCAGAAGCCGACCCAAGCTGCTACTCCCCGCCCAGCGTGCCCCACGGGCCGAGCAGCAACGGCCAAACGAGCGGCCACAACGGCAGCAGCCGGCGCGGCGTGATGTCCGACGAGGCCAAAGCCACCATCTTGCATCTGCGCGAGAGTCTGGTGAGGCAAAAGGAGACCATCCTGGACCAGCGGGAGACCATCAGGGAGCTGACCGCCAAACTCACCTTGTGTGAGGGCTTTGGCGGTCACCATGGCACCGATCGCCACGACAACCACCACGAAAACCATCACGACACCCACCACGATACCAACCACCACGACGGCCGCCCCGATGACCACCGTGGGCATCACGGCGGCCACCATACGCCCCCGCCGTCGCACCATGGGCCTTCCACGTATCACAGCGGCGACCATCACCACTCGCATGGCGGCCACAGGTCGGACCCCCACCCGAGGAAGGCCCCGTCGTACGGGAAGCACAGCTCCTTCTCCCCCGAACAGACGGGCAAAACCCTGCAGACGCTGAAGGAAAGACTGGAGAACTTGCAGGTGGGTGCAATTATTTGTATGTTTACCATACTAATACCAAAGTACTTCAATAGTCCACTTAAGTATCATGACAATGTACTCGTTATGTACTAAATAGTTTACCTTCAGAGTTTCTGGATTGATATTGTTTGTAATAATAGGGGATAGAAGTACGATATTTAGAGGCCGTGAGTAATTGATCTCAGGTTTACTGTAACATCGGTATGATTGTAATTAAAGCAGCAAGTCTCAGGTGAAGAAGGTAAACATTCAGTAAGAGCTTCCGGCGGAGGGCTCAATCCCCCCCACACCTGTATTTCCAGGTCCTCAGGAATGCGTCTGCCAAGGCGGAAGCCTATCAAAGGTTTGACCTAATTGAGGTCATGTCCTGCGTCATCGGGGGTCACAAGCTCAGCCGCAAAATCCGCCCAAATACTGTAAGAAGGAAGTGTTTCATTAGGACATGGTCCCTGTTTAAAAGGGATCTTTTAGTGGCATATGTACTCGTGGAATAAACCTGTGCGTTTTAAGTAGCATTCCTTGTTGGCGCACACACTACTGGTGTGTGCTGGCCCGTTGTCTCTGAGCTAGGGTTAGGGTTAGGGGTTGGCCATGGTCACCATGGCGACCACCACGGCAGCTATCATAGCAGTCGCCGTGGTAGCAACAGGAACAACCATGGCGGCGGTCACCACAATCGCTAGAGGTTGTTCGGCCTGCACACACTCTCTCTCTGCTGAATGTCAGTGTACCAAACAGGAAGCCACTCTAAATGGTACCAGGCCCGATACACCTCCAACCATTGCATTACGTGTTCTCTGAGCTATTGTTATCCGTACGTTTATTTAGTGTGTATTCATCCTGATTAATTGCATTTGGGAATTAAGGATCCGTTTGTAAAAGGTTTGAACAACTGATCCATAAGTCCAGGACTCTTTAAATTTAAACGTGAATTTGTTTGATAATGATTGATTATTTTGAAACCTGAGACAAAGCACCCGTTCTTCTTTTCCCACCCGTGTGTAACAACATTTTAACGAGGCTGGGCGCCGCAGCGCGAGACTAAAACCCTGTGAGAGCTTTGCTATCAGGTGGTCTCTGGGCGCTATGAGGGAAGGTGTTGCCCGAAATCCCCTCCGCCTCGCTTGGAGGTGTGAGGCGACACACAGGCGTCACGGGGATTTACCCTCCGTCGCCGCGTCCTCTAACAGGAAGTCTGTGGCGCCGGCCTCTGGCTGGTCTCACCTTCGATTAGCCTCATCCTCCCTGACGCGGCTGTTAATCGCGGCGTGCGCTGGTAGGGAACAAAGCCGGATTTGGTGGTGAGGCAGACGAGGATGAGCGAGGGAGAGGAGGCAGGTGTACAAACTATTTCCTTGCAAATTTATTTGTCATCCCACAGTTAGTGTTTATTCGTTGGATAATGCAGAATTTACTGCAAAGAACTTTTTTTTAAATTTTAAATGAGTCTTTTCTTCACGCTCAGAGCCTTTGACTCATTGAACTTCTTTGTTACATGAAGAAGCAAAGTTCACACTCGACTTTGGAAAGTTTAATAAAACTAACAAGAAGTAACTTCCAAAGCCACATTTTGTTTGTCAACTTGTAACAAATGGGCTGCGCCCTCTTTGCTGACTGATGCTTTGGTGCTTCTGCAGGCCAGGAACTCGTCCAGCTCGTACTCCAGCTCCCTGAGAGAACTCCTCCAGCGGAAGATCACCGCCCTGGAGGAGCAGCTGGACAGCTACTACCGAGATCACCATGACGACCACCGGGACGATCATCACGACGACCACCGCGGAGGGAGCAGCCACCCTGACGACCATCACGACGACCGCCACGATGACCACCACGATGATCACCGTGGCAACGGCCGCCACGACGACCGCCACGATGACCACCACGATGATCACCGTGGCAACGGCCGCCACGATGACCACCACGATGACCACCATGGCAACAGCCGCCACAACGACCACCACGACGACCACCACGGCACAGGTCATCGTGACAACCACCACTATGACCACCGGGGTACTGGTCGGCGTGACGACCATCATGATGACCACCGTGGCAATGGTCATCATGACGACCACCACGGCAGCTATCATAGCAGTCACCACGGTAGCAACAGGAACAACCATCGCGGCGGTCACCACAGTCGCTATAACGACCACCACTACGACTGGCACCATAGCCGGCAGCGCAGTCACCACGGCAACCATCATAGCCCCCACCATGATGAGCACCACGATGATCACCATGGTTACTACGATGATCATCACGATGGCCATCACCATGACCATCACGATGACCACCACAATGACCATTACGATGACCATCACGATGACCACCGTGACAATGACCACCATGACAATGACCACCATGACAATGACCACCAGGAGAGCCGCCGCGGTAACGATCATAGTCCACCCCACACAAATCTGCGAGGGGCGGGGCATGGCAAGCTGGAAACAGTGCTCAGCCAACTGCACCATGGCAACACTGACCACGGTACGCACACACGCAGACACACACACACACAATGTAGAGTGCCATGTGCATATGTAGCCAGTTGATTTGGAAGCCTGTCAACAAAAGGTATACAGTAATCCCTCGTTTATCGCGGGGGTTACGTTCCGAAAATGACCCGCGATAAGTGAAATCCGCGAAATAGAAAACTTTTTTTTTTTTTACAATTAGCAACTATTACATGTATACAAATACAGTGACTCGCGTGTAGGCCGTTTCACTGCTCTTCAGACTGGGCCGCTGCATCCTGACTGCGCTCTGCAGTGTTCTCTTCTTCTGAAGCCCGCGGTGCAGGTGTGTTTGTTCGGGAGAAGAACATAGTGATAGGCAGCTGTTGTCGCTCTTTTTTCTTCTTTGCAAAAAGATCCTTGTACACCGACATGCCACCATCGATTACGTTGGAGAACTGTAATGAACGGCTCGGGAGTGAGTTTTTAGCGAATCAGAATGCAGAGCACAATGCACCAAAAAAAAAAAAAAATGCAATATGAAAATCCGCGAAATAGCGAATCCGCGATAAGTGAACCGCGAAGTGGCGAGGGATCACTGTATACAAGAGAAGGGGCACTCTTCAGAGAAGGTGATTCAAAGCGATTCAAAGACTGAGCATAAGACTAAACAGAAAAGGCCAGAAAGAGAAATTTAAAACAAGTTTAAAACATGTCTAAATTCAATATCCTGTTTGTGCCCTTGTTGCTACTAGCAACAGATGCTCAACAAAAGCCAACTGCAGAGGGAAGAACACGGACAACGGACGCCCTGAATCTTAACTCTCCCGCCTCCGTCCTACCAGGAAAGAAGCTAAAGACCCCGAACGCCTTCCTGCTCAACTTCCCCGTGAAGACCAACTACATGTACGCCAAGATGAAGCGGCCGCCGGTCAACGAGATCTTCGCCCTGACCATCTGTCTGTGGCTGAAGGCGGGAGCGGGTCCCGGCCTCGGTACCCCGTTCTCCTACGCTGCACCCGGGCAAGCCAACGAGCTGGTGCTCATCGAATGGGGCAGCAACCCAATGGAGCTGTTAATCTGTGACAAGGTAAAAGCGACGCGCTAACTAAGAGCCGTGCTACATCGAGATTTGGATCTCGTAGCCTTTCATTGTGATTCAGGATGCAGTTATGAACCCTTCCACCCGGCCTTTGACCTCTGTACACCGGTAGGAAAGCTAGGCTGCGAGGCCCAATGACGACCTGGCTTCTTTCCTGGAGTAATAACACACTGCCGCTGTACATCAAGGCGTTAGCTTCAACATAGCTTTGCACGTAGCTACGGTAGCTTTGCTTCGTAGAGGAAAGGAGAATAAGTACTTTCTTGTGTTGGTCTGCAGAGTGAAAGTCCTGCTTTCGTTTGACGCGACCTTCCACCCTTCTGTCGTTCTTTGAAAAGATGCCGCTTTCCTTCCTTGCCGCAGCGCTGTGAGCTCAACAAACAAATCAACAAAGCAGTTCATCTGATTATTCTAATTGATTGGCCTAATTGTCTGCTGGGGAGACACTCACAGGAGAGACAAGACCCCACGTTGGCTTTCTTCTCCTCATCGTCTCTCTTGGCAGCCATCGCGCCGATCGATGACTCACAACGCAGATTCTTCTCAGGTTGTCGCCTCGGCCTGATCCCCCTCCGACGCTTTTATCCAAGAGGGGTTTCGTTTGAGGGTTTGTTACAGTGACGCCAGGAAAAGACCCTCCCCCCCAAAAGGAATAATGATCATCTCCGCCTCTCCCTCCCTCTCTTCTCAGGCGGTCACGTTGCCGATAACCATGACCGACGGGAAGTGGCACCACGTGTGCATCACGTGGACGACGCGTGACGGCGTCTGGGAGGCCTACCAGGACGGCGTGAAGAAAGGCTCGGGGCAGAACCTGTCGGCGTGGCGTCCCATCGAGCCAGGAGGGGCCTTCATCCTGGGCCAGGAGCAGGTATGCAGAACAGCCGTTGATGCCGGGGCATCAGCCGCCATTAGAAAGTCACTTTTACGACGTTTCAAGCTCAGACTTCTTTTTTCTCCCAGGACACGATGGGGGGGCGCTTCGACGTCACCCAGTCCTTTGTGGGAGAGCTGTCGGATCTCCAGTTCTGGTCCAGAGTGCTGTCGGCCAGCGAGATCTCCACCCAGGCCACCTGCGGGGGCCACCTCGTCGGTGATGTCATGTCCTGGTCCGAGGAGTCAGTGGAGCTCCACGGGGGGCTTGTGCAGGTGCCCTTTGACCCCTGCCACTAAGGCTTCAGAGAGCCGTCGAGTCAACCCCCCCCCCCCCCCCCCAGACTGGGTGGAGAAGGAAAACACAGATCAAACATGGGGGATTATATTCTTGGGCATTTTGGTTTTTTTTGAAAAAACATATAATTGTCTTACTTTCTGCCTTCTCCACCTGGCACCGCACTGTGGAAGCCTCCACGGGGAAGGGGGGGGGGGGGTCTTGCAAAGAGGAGCGGGTTGCAAGAAGGGCGACGTCACTCCCGTCGTACTGAATATCTGCTTGTTTGTTTCATAAGAAAAACTTTTTTACAATTTAGGTAAAATGTGGCGGAACCTGCTGGCGTTTGCACGTTGAGATTTTGGCGGACTGTTTTCTACTAGTATTTCATATTGAAAACTCCTCCTTTTTTGTAGAAACAGTTTGCTTTTGTGTTTCCTGAAAAGAAAAGCGTAATCCATGTATTGTGTGTTCTTTACAACCTTAAAAAAAAATGTCAAGAGTTATGATGTTTAAAAAAGAAAAGTGGGTCAGAAGTTAGCCGGTACTTAAGCTTAAAGTCGCAACATGACGCGCCACCATGTGACCCAACGCCGAGTCCATCATCCCGTCACCGCGGTAATGCTGATGTCTCCTTCTGCAACCTTCGGCTTACAGCAGGATTTACCTGTGGACAACTGATCCTAACCTATTTCTGACCAGCTCAAACCACAGTGCAGAGTCACACACACACACACACACACACACACAGACGCTCAGAGAAGATGACGGGACGTTGTCGATCTCTGCTTGTAGCTTCACGTTTTTATAACTATATGAGGTTTTTGTACATGTAGCTTGAAAAATTAAAACATGCATTGTGACATTTGTAAATAATGAAATAAGTACATAACCACAGGGTTCGTCGGGTGCGGTTTGGCTCATTTTTAACCCGTCTGAGGTCAACTCAGAAACTCAGAGAGGACGAGCTCTCTTCATTCATTGTAATGAAACGTACAAAAAGGGAGGAGGGGCATCTGTGGTTGTCATGGTGATAGAATAGCTCAGCATCCACAGCTGTAAATACCTGAGCAGGAACGTCCTCAGGAGCTCGATGGAGAAATGAGGAGGACACTGTGATGTCCGGGTCTATTCGCTGGTCTCTGGCTGTAAATATTCAAGGAGTCCACAGCCAAAACTACGAACTGAGTCGTAAAACTTGATAATGCAGAAAATGCTCCGTAACCGCTGTGAAATATGTGTAATGACTGCAGGGTTTTGAATAAAATGATTTATGGTTTGGAACTGGACTACAAACTCCTTTCTTTGAAGATGGTGCAACGCTCGGCACACGTGTGTCGCATTGATTCTCAGAGATGAAGAACAGGTTTCTGCAACTTCACACAAGGATCAGAGCTCGTGTGCTTCTCAGACCAGCAGTGCAGCTCGGGGGAGCCGTGGTGGGACGAGGGAGGGGGGGGGGGGTCCACAACAGCCACAAGTCAGTCATTTTTTCCTCTTTTTTTTTGCATTCAAACTTTAAATATGAATCATTTTAACAAAAGAATCCGTGTGGAATCCTGATCTTAAAAGGCTTCACGCAGACCTCGAGCGCATCAAGTGGACTTTTGAAGCTGTTTTAAATGTGACGCTGTTTCACTTGCACGGACCGTGATTTACTGGGTTTAGTGTTAAGTAGAACATTAGCTGACAAGCTCAGGGAGCTTTAGAGATGAGCTGATCAGTTTAAAGCCCAGAGGTGGTGAAACTTTACTTTACTGGAAAATATAAAGAGTCGCAGGTGAGACAGCCGTGAATGGCAAGTGTGCCTTTGAAAACATCTATCAAAACGGATTTCTGTGTTGGCTGCCGATAAGATTCATTTAAATTAACTGAAACACTTTTAAACTCCAATTCAGCTCATTTTAATGAGAAGAACTGTATGTTAAGCTAAACCAGGCAGAAATGCGCTTTAAGAGCTCACTTAATTAAAGGATTACGATGCAGACGTAAATCTATAAGTCTCATAATAAGATAAGATTAATTTAGCAATCAGTCGCGGCTGATCAGGAAGTGTTTTAAGTACAAGTGCAGTTTCTAATAGCAGCCAACGGTTAACTTCAGTTCTTTAAGGATTTTAAATATTTGTTTTATTCTCCACCATGGAAACAGGAGATGAAAAAGTCTTGAAGAAAAAAACAAACTTAGAAACTTGCAGACAAGTGATCATTGTTGAGTGAAAGCATTACAGAAACACAGAATATCCTAAATAGTGCTTGAAAATAAAGATAATTATGTGCAAACCAATATATGCAAATATTAAAATAATAGTAGAGCTTTGATGTGTGTGTGTGTGTGTGTGTGTGTGTGTGTGTGTGTGTGTGTGTGTGTGTGTGTGTGTGTGTGTGTGTGTGTGTGTGTGTGTTGTTTTAACACTCACGGCTGTTTTAATTTCATGATGCGTGTCTTCGAATCACGGTCGCCATGGTAACAAAATAAAGCCTGTCGTTTGTTTGATACTTCCTTTTTTCCACCAGGAGGCGACCACAGGAGGAGCCGCTTCACCTACAGATGCTCCTGCTGCTGAGGAGGGAGGCGGCGCTGCGGTGAGGGGAGGGGGAGAGGTGACAACAAACAATAAGGATTCCATTGGAGAAACTGCATCTGAACAAAACTTTGCTGGGAGATGGAACTGCTATTAAAAAATACTGCTCAATCAATAATGTACAATATTACCATTTGACTTTATTACACAAAAGAAAGGGCAGAGCACCGGAGGTCCATGAACTAGAAGTATTTAATGGTCTTCAAAGACGCTTGCTGTAGGATTTTCTATCAGCCTATTTTTAATTTAATTTTAAGTTAATGAATAATATTTCGGCCTATTGAAAACTAATCGTTACGCCTTCGTTTGAATGTTTGGTTCAGGCAACTTTTGTTTTGTTCAGCTACATTCATCCTCACAATCATCATCATCCTCACAATCATCATCATCCTCACAATCACAATCATCATCATCATCATCATCATCATCATCATCATCATCATCATCATCATCATCATCATCGATAGAGAAGCTCGTCTGGATCACCCGGTTGTGAATTTCCCCATTGAGGGACTGATAGAGATGTTACACACATGTACCTGCGCGGAGTGTCCACCGGGGGGCGGTGCCACCCCACTAGCGTCATTCCCTCTACCCAGCATGCACCGCGAGTGAGCCGCTCTCTACGTCATAGCGAGTCTTGCCGCGGAGAAAGAAAGGGAAGCCGTTTTTTGACTTCAGCGCGTTGTGTTTGTGCTCATGTTTTGTGTTAAACGTACACAGCGTGCATTAATAATAGAGGCTGATTGTCAATAAAGGTTGTTTAACAATAGACGAGTCTGTTAGTCTGGTTAATTCGGTTTGTAACACACTTACTAAACAGTGTTTGAAGGTGTTTAAATAAGTGCTCAGTATTATCCATCGTTTGTCTGAGCGGTTTGGGGATAAAAATGTCCTTTTTCAAGACACACATTCTCTCGCTGTGTCTTTAGTCCTCATGGTCCTCTGACGTCTCTCTACTGTGTCTCTAGTCCTCGTGGTCCTCTGACGTCTCTCTACTGTGTCTCTAGTCCTCGTGGTCCTCTGTCTCTACTGTGTCTCTAGTCCTCATGGTCATCTGTCTCTCTACTGTGTCTCTAGTCCTCATGGTCCTCTGTCTCTACTGTGTCACTAGTCCTCATGGTCCTCTGTCTCTCTACTGCGTCTCTAGTCCTCATGGTCCTCTGTCTCTACTGTGTCTCTAGTCCTCATAGTCCTCTACTGTGTCTCTAGTCCTCATGGTCCTCTGTCTCTACTGTGTCTCTAGTCCTCATAGTCCTCTACTGTGTCTCTAGTCCTCATGGTCCTCTGTCGCACAGAAACCCAGCAGTCTGAAGATGGAGAACTTCCGGACCGCTCCATTCAACGCTCGCTTCCCAAACACCAACCAGACCCGCAACTGTTTCCAGAACTGTAAACCCCCTACGATTGACCCCTTGGGTGGCGTTCCTTCATGGCTCCTTGGAGGCTCCTTGGAGGCTCCTTGGAGGCTCCTTCAAGGCTCCTTCGAGGCTCCTTTAAGTGTCCGCTGAGCCGTTGCTTCAGTTCCTCTCAGCACCGGATCCGGAGGTCACATGATCCTTGGGCTTTTTCGTTGGGGATGCTTTAGGGCGGGGCTCACTGTGATTGACAGGTCTGACTTTTCTTCTTCTTGCTCTGTTTTCTCTGCAGATTTCCACAGTTGCAACAAAGCTCTGTCAGCCAAGGAGCAGCACACGGCGCCCTGCGAGCGGCACCAAAGGGTCTACAAGAGCCTCTGCCTCATGAGCTGGGTTTTAATCCTCTCATCCACCACGCACACACAGATGCCTCCTCAGTCCCTTTTCTTTAGGCTGCTCTCTCGCACCCTCAGGTCCAGAAATGGGACGACCAGTTGGAGGCGAGAAGTTTCCCCCAGAAAGATCTGATGGGACGCATCGCCCCGTCTTCAATGAGCACCTGTTCTCTCTGTACAGAAATGAGTAAATAAATGATATAATGCCACTGTTTTGTTAAAGGTGTTTTTCTTTTTGAAAAGGGACAGCAGTGTAACATTAAATATTCCTGCAGGTTTAGTTAAATGATTAACTGTTAAATATGATTTTTCTCTTCAATTAGCACATTGACAAGATTCAAGAAATCCTGAATACAACGTTTCTCTCTTTTTAAACATTTAGGTCGGCACGGTGGAGAAACGACAAACTTTTCCCACTTATTTGTTTGTGTTTAATATTTCGGTTTCCTCAAATCGATATTTATATATCAAAAACAGTACATTTCTCAAGGAAGCAAAGGCTTTGCACGAGGAAGGTGATTTCAAGTTCAAGTACAGGAAGTAAAAGTGTTTGAAATAAAGAACAAAAAAAAGCTCATGTCTTTACGGTCTGATTGGTTCACTGTACAGATTAAAGTAGTATAGAAAAAACTGCACATCGGAGGTTAAAAAGCAGCTCGCATTCCACTCAGAGGCTGTTCTGGAGCTTTTGCTTACACCACCTGTTCTCCATCATCACCCTCAGAAACAGACACTATCCTCCCCGTGAGGTTCTCTCGGCGGCTACAAATCACCCGGATCAGCCGGCTGCCGCGTGACCCGTTGTCACAGCAACGGACCGCATCAGCATCCGCTGCATCAGCACCATCCGGCAGCTTCTTTCAAGGTCGCGGGACGCATCATGGGAAGGAGAGGAGGACACCGGCGCGCGCGGGGTGGGGGGGGGGGTCTCAAAATTCCTCACGACCCTTCGGAAGCTCCACCGACGCGCATGCGCGTCACCGCATTCGCGAGCTAAACCCAGCAAGCAACCGAGTGAAGGGCTGCGGCCGTCATAGGACACGGGATGCGGTGACGATGCACTCCAGTCACGAATTTCTGCACGACGAAGCGGAGGGGCGGGGCCACGTCACGGCATCCCAGGATTCCGGTTTGCCATTGGTTGACAGGGGGGTAAAATAATTAAAGAAACACAAACACTTACGTGCGGTTGTCCTCGTTCCTCTCCGTGCGAGTCGGATCTTCGTCCCGGAAGGTGAGCGACGGCACCGACACGGAGACAACGAACCATCGCACTCCACGTCCCGGTGCCTCGAGCTTCGAGCGGGGTCCATCCAATGCGTGATATCGATCAGCAGTGAAAGGTCGTGTTCTACCCGGTACCACGGACAGCGCCTAAAAAGGAGTGCTCCTTTTCCCGCAGCTGAGGGCGCCGGCGGGCGGGTCCTGCGGAGCTTCTTCTCCTCCACCCGCTGCATCCTCGTCACTCGGAGCGGACGTCAGAAGATGGCAGGGAAGGCAAGTGTGATTTGTTCACGATTCTCGTGAAGGGAAATGTATTTTATCCTGAGGCTCGAGGTCAGGAGGGAAACGTTCAAACTTCCGTCTGCTCAAACAAAACAGCTTCGGTTCGTTTGAAAAGCAGAAACTATTCCAACAACAGAGTATGAAGTCTGAATTTGACTGGAGTTTACATAATCGCAGTAGTAGAAATAGACCAGAATGCAATGCAGCAGCGAGACGCCTCTTCACAAGCTGAAAAAAGCACTTTGTGTTGCCATGCCGACGGTCCCCGCGTGTTGGCCCGCCTCACGCACACGCTGCCACATCACACTAAACACGGTTGCATCTATGTCAACACGCCATCATCATCATCATCATCATCATCAT